AATAAAGAAAAAAATTTCATTTTTGACCAAAAGCATGGGTTAACCCCTTTAGAAAAATGCGATTTCTGGGACTTTGAGAGATTGAAGTTTTTATGGCCAAAAAAGGTTTATTTTCTATCTAGAACATTTTTTAAACATTATTTCTAGTCTTATTTTGAGGGAAAACAAATAAAGAAAAAAATTACATTTTTTTGACCAAAAGCATGGGTTAACCCCTTTGGAAAAATGCGATTTTTGGGACTTTGAAAGAGTGAAGTTTTTATGGCCAAAAAAGGTTTCTTTTCTATCTAGAACATTATTAAACATTATTTCTAGTCTTATTTTGACGATAAACAAATAAAGAAAAAAATTACTTTTTTTGACCAAAAGCATGGGTAAACCCCTTTGAAAAAATGCGATTTTTGGGACTTTAAAAGATTGAATTTTTTTATGGCCAAAAAAGGTTTCTTTTCTATCTAGAACATTATTGAACATTATTTCTAGTCTTATTTTGACGGAAAACAAATAAATAAAAAATTACTTTTTTTGACCAAAAGCATAGGTTAACCCCTTTGGAAAAATGCGATTTTCGGAAATAGTCTCTTTTTTATCGTGAATTATTTTGACCGAATGCAAATTTTGTAAATTTAGTTTTTATTTTGTAAATAGTTTTTTAGAAGAGTGTGTATTATCTTTTTTAATAAAGCATTATTAATTTCTTGTATATTGTTGCTGTTTTGTTACGTGGTCAATGGGAAAAGAAATGAATAAAAGAATCAATGAGCGAATGATTTTTAGATGAGAAACAGCTGTTTTTATGAAATCAGTTGTTTAGGACGTCCAGAGTTCTTGAAATGGGCTATTTTAGATGGAAAACAGCTGTTTTTATAGAATTAGGTATTTAGGAGGTCCAGAGAGCTTAAAATCAGCAATCTTAAATAAAAAAAACAGCTGTTTTATAAAATCAGGTGTTTAGGAGGTCCAGAGAGCTCAAAATCGGCAGTCTTAAATGGAAAACAGCTGTTTTTATAAAATCAGGTGTTTGGGAGGTCGTCCAGAGAGCTCAGAATCGGCAATCTTAAATGGAAAACAGCTGTGTTTATAAAATCAGGTGTTCAGGAGGTCCAGAGAGCTTAAAATCGGCCATTTTAGATCGAAAAGAGCTGTTTTTATAAAATCAGGTGTTCAGGAGGTCCATAGAGCTCAAAATCAGCAATCTTAGATGAAAAAGCGCTATTTTTTATGAAATCAGGTGTTTAGGAGGTCCAGAGAGCTTAAAATCAGCAATCTTAAATAGAAAACAGCTGTTTTATAAAATCAGGTGTTTAGAAGGTCCAGAGAGCTCAAAATCGGCAGTCTTAAATGGAAAACAGCTGTTTTTATAAAATCAGGTGTTTGGGAGGTCCAGAGAGCTCAAAATCGGCAGTCTTAAATGGAAAACAGCTGTTTTTATAAAATCAGGTGTTTGGGAGGTCCAGAGAGCTCAAAATCGGCAGTCTTAAATGGAAAACAGCTGTTTTTATAAAATCAGGTGGTTAGGAGGTCCATAGAGCTCAACATCGGCAATCTTAGATGAAAAACCGCTATTTTTTATGAAATCAGGTGTTTAGGAGGTCCAGAGAGCTTAAAATCAGCAATGGAAAACAGCTGTTTTTATGAAATCAGATGTTTAGGAGGTCCAGAGAGCTCAACTGATCGGCTATTTTGGATGGAAAACAGCTGTTTTTATGAAATCAGGTGTTTAGGACGTCCAGAGAGCCCAAAATCGTCTATTTTAGATTGAAAACGGCTGTTGATATCAAATCAGGTGTTTTCAGGAATTTTCCAATTTTTTCGACTAAAATCATGGTTTAACCCCTTTGCAAAAAATCCAAAATGGTGACTTAAAGAAGATACGTTTTTAGCAAGAAAATGCTTATTTTATTTCGAGAATAGAACCAAACATTATTTAAAAATATATTTTGGGGAAAAATGAAGAGAGGAATTTTCCAATTTTGGGACCAAAATCATGGGTTAATCCCTTTGCAATAAATCCAAAATAGCGTTTTCTTCCAGAAGTATACCTTTGTAGCTTGGGAAGGCGTATTTTATATCAGGAACATCAAAACATTTTAGGCCTTTCTTGAGCAAAAGTGAAAAGGGAAAAATTTTCCAAATTTTTTACCAAAATCATATGTTAACCCCTTTGGAACTTTTTAAAATTTGTAGGTCCTTCTTATGGTTATATCCCGATGTCCAAACAACGGTTGTGTTTTTCTCTGCAAAAAAATCTTACAACCAAACCACATTAACTTTTAGTTTATTAATCCAGCTATAAATATGAGAGAAACTTACAAAAAGATTATCGTAATAAGAAAATGGCATTATTATTTAGCGGTCCACATTTTATAATGAGAAAATAGCCGACAGATATCTTGAGCCAAAGAAAACTAAAAAATGTTAGTAAGTCTCTTAGACCACCTCCCCATTTCCCACACTTGTTTATTCTTGCTGCGGAGGCCTTGGCTAAGACCGTCCGAAACAATAAGAGCATAAGAGGTTTTTCTCTAGGTATTGACGAAGTTAAGATAAGCCAATACGCTGATGATACCACTCTTATTATATAAACACCAATGAAATACTAGGTGAACTTTCCCGCGAAAACTTGATATCTTCACATGTCAAAATTCACATCTAAAAATATCACCGTTGCTATGGCTACATAATAAATCGCGCCTTTCACACCAAAAAATTATTAAAGGAAATGGTTTGGTATTTCATTGGTGTTAATGTAATAAATAGGAGGGAAAAGACAGGTCCATTAATTTACCAAAAACTGATCAGGACTAAAAGTTTAACCCCACATAAAAGCCAACTAAAATGGCTTCAAGACTGTAATTTCTCAGACGAAGAAGGAACAATTAATAGGCCATTTGCACTAAGAAGTCATGTGAAATCGTTTTTATGAAAATGAAAGTTATATCATTTTGCCTTCGAAAAACGATTAGCGGGTCATATCCTAAACAAAATTATAGTGATTTTGTTTTTCAAACCTGCAACATTTTCTTAAAATGAGTAAGTTCGTGGCTGGTCACCTGACCAAATGTGATTTTGAAAATTACGAATTACCTCTTTCTGAACACAAATTTTGCACTTAAACTTTAAGGAAAATGTAGAAAAAATGATGTGGTAACATTTACAGCACATCTGAACGTAACTATCAACAGTTTAACAAGATGTAAGCAAAAAGTAGTTTTGGCCGCCATGTTGGAGGGCAAGAGTATGCCCTCTTACATGGTGGCCAATACAAATCATACCACTTTGTTGAAAAATCAAAGTGCCATAAAATATCGCCCTTAAATGCTTTTCGTCTCAAATTTCGGGTGTAAGATAATTTTTATGTGCTCTGTCAATTTTTGGCATCAGCAGGATTCCAACTCATTGTTTGAAGGAAGCATTGGTCACGTGACCTCTTAGTGCAGGTGGCCTATTGGGAACTTGTTCATCTTATGGCGCAACGGTGCACGAAAAGAACCAACCTGATAGAGTTCCAATTTAAACTATTACATAGGCGCATACTAACCAATGATTTCTTACTTAAAACAGGACGAAAAGTAAATGAAAACTGTCCCTATTGCAACAATACCTCAGAGACGCTAATTCATCTTTTTTGGTCTTGCCATGTTACATCGTCATTTTGAAAAAGTGTAACTGACTTCTAGCTTCAAAACGCTGTTTCGTTAATCGGTAAATACAAGTTATTGAACATTACTGCACTGGGCTTGAGACAGGAGCCTCATTCTACAGAATACTCGTGTCAATTAAACTATTGTCTCCTGTTAGCGCGGTTTCATATTTGGCAAGCCAAAATGGATGAAATATCGCCTAATTTTGCAAATTTTCTATGCCTAGTTAATTCAAGATCTATTATATTAAAAAACTATATCTATCTATTATATTAAAAAAATGGAACTTCTTAGAGATAGCTCTTAATACAGCTCTTAATATCGATTGTTTCCTTTCCCCTGACGGTCAAATACCAAGAAATTGAAAGAATTGTAAATCTTGTATTTAAGTAAATATAAGTGACTGATTGTATACAATCAACGTTCGTTCATTGCTGTTGTCGTTTTTAGGTAGTCGAATTGTAATTTCTTTTAACTTTTGTTGTTTGTTGGGTTTTCCCTCTTCCCTATTATTGAAACGGTGAACAGTGAAAATAAAAATAGTAAAACTGCCTGCTGCACTGAATAAAAGCCCAGCGTAATGCGAACATCAGTTCCCGTTTATTTATACAAATAAAACACTTAAGTACTGCAAAGGTAGTGAAGCAGGAAAAATGTAACAAGCTTTAAGTAAAGTTCTTTGATCGATAATTTAATAAAGATGATATAGTGTCTGCTGCCCGTCAGGAAAAACCCCCTTAGCTAAGGAGGAAACCTGAACCCTCCCGAAAGCAGAGCCAGACACTTAACAGGAACCTCGAGGGAGAGAGGTTGAACTAGAATACAAAATTATGAGTACATCAACGACGAACTACAATCAATTCAAAAGACACAAAAAGAAAAAAGCATTGACAAACGAAACTCATGCAGCGATGTCAGCTTAGAATGATCACCTCAGTAAAATCCCGCCTTTTTATACTTGAGTCTCCATGACAGCTATCAATATGTTGGAACCGTGAAAAAGATAATTTGCTGCTATTCTTAGAACCGCAGCAAATAAGAACTTGTGTTGTAATTTAGATGCTGCATCAGTACGTTGGTCTATTTGCTTGATTCAATGAATGAATCCTTCAAACTTTTATGGATCTTGAAATCTTTTCATGTTTCTCTCGTACTTGGTACATCGCCTAACTTTAAAATTATAGTGTCCCATCTGAGGGTTTCTGGCGATATGAACTCCGTTCACCTACTAAAACATCCTTCTCTGAAAGCTGCTCTGGCCAGTACAAGGTAGATTCCACCAAAAGAATTCGGTAAAATGGAAACTTGGCAGGATTTTCTGTCTTTGTATTCAATTATCAGGTGAGGTAACTCCAATTAAAAGTGATGTGGCAGAATAATGTCCGACAGGTTCGGCAGATCAAGACCTGAAATGACAAGTTTGATAAAATCAGCATCACAATGTATCACCAAATACTTGTTAAACAAGTCACTCTTGTTACGCTGTGCTTTTTTCAACTTGAAAATCACGTAATGTTAATTCTCAAGGAAAGGTATAAGACAGTTATCAATCCAAAAAATTGAATTAAGTCACATACCTGATCGACAAATCCAGTGTACAGGATGGCTCGGCCTCCATGCCAGCTCTGCTCTCATCCTCATAACAGACGAGAAAGTTTGCCAGCACACTCCCTCTAATTGAAAGATGTAAAATATGATAACAAGAACAAAGAGTCAATGTTTAAATTCAAAAATCAAGGTTTCATCATTCATAAAGTGAACTGAAATGGGAAAAACAAGTATTACAACAAACTGCTGTAAACTGTGTTTCTTCAAGGATTTGTGCAAGAGTGATAATGGAAGCCATAATCAAATGAAGACAGGTAAATAATGGTCATGCAGTGACCACAATCACAACAGGAGTAGAGAAACCGTCAGTTTGAGTACCAACTTATTTGGGTATCCTGGCTTTACCAGGTCCACACCACAGCAATAAGGGCAAGCACAAGGGACGCCTTTGTAGTTGAACACTACAAATAGGGAAGAACAGTTAGTATGAGTTTCTGGTTTCCATACTTACTGGTTTATTGGTTGACCGGTTCTATGATCTCTGATCTCTTGTGTTATGTAGATTAAGTGACACCGGCTTCTGCCGAAACCGTTCATCGGCCACATAACACCACTACACCTTCCACAAGTTCAGCTTTCACTGGAATCCGGTCATACACAAGCATCCAGCCACCATAAGGAATCCAATATTTCATACAAGTTGTATCTTCGACAAGCTTCCAGTCAGATATCTGGAATGTATGTGGCAGGCATCAGGGATTCAGTTGTGAATCCATGATCACAACAAGTGAAGAGGAACAGTCACTATGAGAACTGACTGAGTGGGTGTGTTATTAAATCAGGTGTTTCGGAGGTCCACAGAGCTCAAAATTGCCCCTTTTAGATGATAAATAGATGATAAAGAGGAAGAACAGTAATAGTATGAGTTTCTGGTTTCCATACTTACTGGTTTATAGGTTGACGGTTCTATGATCTCTGATCTCTTGTGTTGTGTAGATTAAGTGACACCGGCTTCTGCCGAAACAGTTCATCGGCCACATAACACCACTACACCTTCCACAAGTTCAGCTTTCATTGGAATCCGCTCATACACAAGCATCCAGCCACCATAAGGAATCCAATATTTCATACAAGTTGTATCTTCCACAAGTTTCCAGTCAGATATCTGGAATGTATGGGGCAGGCATCTGGGAAGCAGTTGTGGATCCATGATCACAACAAGTGAAGATGAACAGTCACTATGAGAACTGACTGAGTGGGTGTGTTATTAAATCAGGTGTTTCGGAGGTCCACAGAGCTCAAAATTGGCCTTTTTAGATGATAAATAGATGACAAAGGGGAAGAACAGTTAGTATGAGTTTCTGGTTTCCATACTTACTGGTTTATAGGTTGACCGGTTCTATGATCTCTGATCTCTTGTGTTATGTAGATTAAGTGACACCGGCTTCTGCCAAAACAGTTCATCGGCCACATAACACCACTACACCTTCCACAAGTTCAGCTTTCATTGGAAACCGGTCAAACACAAGCGTCCAGCCACCATAAAGAATCCAGTTTCATACAAGTAGTATCTTCCACAAGTTTCCAGTCAGATATCTGGAATGTATGGGGCAGGCATCAGGGATGCAGTTGTGGATCCATGATAACAACAAGTGAAGAGGAACAGTCAGTACGAGAACTGACTGAATGGGTGTGTTATTAAATCAGGTGTTTAGGAGGCCCAGAGAGCTCAAAATTGGCTTTTTTAGATGATAAACAGATGATAAATGGGGAAGAACAGTTAGTATGAGTTTCTGGTTACCATACTTACTGGTTTATTGGTTGACCGATTCTATGATCTCTGATCTCTTGTGTTATGTAGATTAAGTGACACCGGCTTCTGCCGAAACAGTTCATCGGCCACATAACACCACTACACCTTCCACAAGTTCAGCTTTCATTGGAATCCGGTCATACACAAGCATCCAGCCACCATAAGGAATCCAATATTTCATACAAGTTGTATCTTCGACAAGCTTCCAGTCAGATATCTGGAATGTATGTGGCAGGCATCAGGGATTCAGTTGTGAATCCATGATCACAACAAGTGAAGAGGAACAGTCACTATGAGAACTGACTGAGTGGGTGTGCTATTAAATCAGGTGTTTAGGAGGTCCACAGAGCTCAAAATTGGCCTTTTTAGATGATAAATAGATGATAAAGGGGAAGAACAGTTAGTATGAGTTTCTGGTTTCCATACTTACTGGTTTATAGGTTGACCGGTTCTATGATCTCTGATCTCTTGTGTTGTGTAGATTAAGTGACACCGGCTTCTGCCGAAACAGTTCATCGGCCACATAACACCACTACACCTTCCACAAGTTCAGCTTTCATTGGAATCCGGTCATACACAAGCATCCAGCCACCATAAGGAATCCAATATTTCATACAAGTTGTATCTTCCACAAGTTTCCAGTCAGATATCTGGAATGTATGGGGCAGGCATCTGGGAAGCAGTTGTGGATCCATGATCACAACAAGTGAAGATGAACAGTCACTATGAGAACTGACTGAGTGGGTGTGTTATTAAATCAGGTGTTTCGGAGGTCCACAGAGCTCAAAATTGGCCTTTTTAGATGATAAATAGATGATAAAGGGGAAGAACAGTTAGTATGAGTTTCTGGTTTCCATACTTACTGGTTTATAGGTTGACCGGTTCTATGATCTCTGATCTCTTGTGTTATGTAGATTAGGTGACACCGGCTTCTGCCGAAACAGTTCATCGGCCACATAACACCACTACACCTTCCACAAGTTCAGCTTTCACTGGAATCCGGTCATACACAAGCATCCAGCCACCATAAGGAATCCAACATTTCATACAAGTTGTATCTTCCACAAGTTTCCAGTCAGATATCTGGAATGTATGGGGCGGGCAGCTGGGAAGCAGTTGTGGATCCATGATCGCAACAAGTCAAGATGAACAGTCACTATAAGAACTGACTGAGTGGGTGTGTTATTAAATCAGGTGTTTCGGAGGTCCACAGAGCTCAAAATTGGCCTTTTTAGATGATAAATAGATGATAAAGGGGAAGAACAGTTAGTATGAGTTTCTGGTTTCCATACTTACTGGTTTATAGGTTGACCGGCTCTATGATCTCTGATCTCTTGTGTTATGTAGATTAAGTGACACCGGCTTCTGCCGAAACAGTTCATCGGCCACATAACACCACTACACCTTCCACAAGTTCAGCTTTCATTGGAATCCGGTCATACACAAGCATCCAGCCACCATAAGGAATCCAATATTTCATACAAGTTGTGTCTTCCACAAGTTTCCAGTCAGATATCTGGAATGTATGGGGCAGGCATCAGGGATGCAGTTGTGGATCCATGATCACAACAAGTGAAGAGGAACAGTCAGTATGAGACTAAGTGGGTGGGTTATTAAATCAGGTGTTTAGGATGTCTGGAGAGCTCAAAATCGGCTTTTTTTATCAAATCATGTGTTTAGGAGGTCCAGAGAGCAATCAGCATCACAATGTATCACTAATTACTTGTTTAAGAAGTCACTCTTGTTACGCTTTGTGCTTTTTTCAACTTGAAAACCACATAATGCTAATTCTCAAAGAAAGGTCTTAGACAGTTATTATTCCAAAAAATTAAATCAAGTCACATACCTGATCGACAAATCCAGGGTACTTGGTGGAGGGAAAAAACAACAGTGGCTCGGCCTCCATGCCAGCTCTGGTTTCTTCCACATGACAGGCGAGAAATTTTGTCACCACACTCCTTCTAATAAATTATAATTTATATGAAATATGATAACAAGTACAAGAGTCAATATGTAAATTCAAATTAATGTTTCATGGCATAAAGTGTACTGAAATTGAAAAAACAACAACCACCATTGATCAACAGTCACTTAATCCCACTTATAAATCTACTGTATTTTGACTGCTGTAGACTATGTTCTGTCGAGGATTTGAAGGAGGTTCTGAAGAGTGATAATGATAGCCATAATCAGTTGTGGATCCATGATAACAACAAGTGAAGAAGAACAGTCAGCATTAGTACTGACTGAGTGGGAGTGTTGAGTATCCTAGATTTCCTGGTTTTGGATGGTAGGTTCCTTCGATTTGCAGGTTGACACCACAGCAAAATGGGCAGGCATTAGGAATGCTTTTGTAGTTGAACACTACAAATAAGGAAGAACTGTTAGCATGAGTTTCTGGTTTCCATACTTACTGGTTTATAGGTTGACCGGTTCTATGTTTGCTGATCTCTCGTGGCATGCAGATTATTAAGAGTGAGCTCTTCGAGACGATCCGAATGAGGATAAGTGATCCAAGATCACTCAGATCATGGTAGATCAAATGAACTGATGACTCCACTCTGGACAAAAATTCATTGGTTTATTTGGTCTACCATGATCCTGGTGGTCTGGGACCTCCGATCCTAGTAAATCCTTATCATCCCAAAGGTTGACCCACCCCAAGTGACACCGGTTTCTGTCGAAACAGTTCATCGGCCAAACACCACTACACTATATCCACAAGTTCAGCTTTCATTGGAACCTAGTCATACACAATCCTCCAGCCACCATAAGGAAACCAATTTCATACAGGTAGTATCTTCCATAAGTTTCCAGTCTGATATCTGGAATGTATGGGGCAGGCATCAGGGATGCAGTGTAGAGGTCAGTTTAAGAACCTACTGAGTAGGCATGTTGGTTATTGTGAATTTCCTGGAGTTGGGTGTCTGGGTCCTCTTATGTGATCTCTTGCTGGCTTGAAAATCCTCAGGTGTGACGTCATCCAGGGTTGATATTAGAAATGGACCAGGGTGCTGTTTAGTCTGGCCCCTCTCCCTAAGAGCAATCCGGCATTACCTTTCAGGAGCATAGGCTCCCGCCATCATAGCTCTCGTGGTAACAAGGGCACGCAAGCCTCCCCGCCACGACAAGGCACAGCACCAGGGGAGGAAATAACTGTTAACTCTTCTAAAATGCTTTACAATGTATAGCCTTCCATCCTGCTATGTGGGAAGGGATGAGGTCTGTAACTGAGAAATGGTATAGTTCATAACTTGCAGAGTGGTAACCCTGTGTAGTGGTCAGCGGATAATTGCAGTATCTTTAAGAAGCCAGTGGCAAAGCAAAGAAATATATTAAGATATCGCCATTTTTTTTTGGTTTTCTCGCATTTTGCATTTGTCCTTCAGTTCGGAAATTATTTGCAAAGGAAACATAAGTGCTGTGGGGGAAAAATCAACTTTAGCCTCTTAACTCAGTTTTCCCAAGGAATGTTTTTTGTCTTAGTACGAGGTACATATGAAGAGTAAAAAAGAGGAAAGAACAACAATTCTTCATTCAGCTCATGGTGATATTGCATTTTTTTTACTTTACATGACCAAAATTTGTGCTAAGGGACTTGTCAGAAATTAGCAGGGGGGGAGGAGGGCTGGGAATTTTAAATTTGGGTTCGGAAATGAGGTGACCCATCCCTGCAATGGGAGTGAAATTTGCTGACCCTCCCCTTGACCTTGGCCTAAGATATCATGACCCTCCCCCTCTTGTATAAATTATAAAATCTAGCTCTTGCAGTACACTAGGTTGAGTCAGTATTATGAAAGCTCAAAATATATTTCTAATCTGCTCTTTGTAATGCCATATACATACATTTTAGATGACAGCATTAAGCTGAGTCCGACTCTGATTCTGACAGCTGATCACTCCACTCTCCTATTTCTCCCAGGTGTTTTTTACAAAATAAAGAACTTCTTTTTTCTTCAGTGGGTGAACCTCCACATGATCAGGGACACATATTTGCATGACCCTGTTGAAGGCACAAATGTAATAACTGGTCACAAATGTAATAAAGGTCACAAGTGTAATAACATTTGGTCACAAATGTAATAACATTTGATCACAAATGTAATAATTACCAACTTAACAATTTAAAAAAGAGTAACTCACTCAGAGACATAAATTAAAGGTAATAATATAACCTTGTATTCTGAATTGTGCAGGGCAAAGATGACTTTCAAATCATATTAAAAAAAAGGGAATTCAGTCAAAAGGGCCTAAGAAAAACGTAAAGAATGGGAAGTTGGAGAGAACCAAAAGAAGTAGGGAGGGAGAAAGCGAAATGCAAAACTTGAGTGGACGGTGAAAGTCTTTTGTCCGAGCTTCGCAAGCTGTTACTGAGCTTTGGGAACAGCACGACCAGCGTAATACTCGACAGGTATGCAAAGTTTCGGATAGTTTGGAACCTTTAATTTTAAGCGAGATAGAGGCCGGAAAATGCCTCAAATAGCTCTTCTTGATGGCATCAGACGGACGGCTGCGAAGGAGACCAGAATTGGTTAAGCACGATAGGTTACCCTCATACGAATTGCATGTAAACTTGCTAATTGGTTTATGACGGCATTGAGAAGTTTCAACATGCGACTGTAGTGTCAGCTGTTCGTCACACAGTCCTGGCGAAAATTTTATTGTTGCAATATAGTGAAATAAGGACTTACGACAACCTATAACTTCAAAACAATGGTTTAATTTCATTAAATCTGAAGATTAACTTACAACCTTGAAAAAGAAAGGCTTATGGTTATCAAATTAGGACTTCGAATTGCTTTCCTGCTATACATGGCAGGGAAACTGTAGTTGTGCATACACAAAAGTATGGGAACCGAACATCAGTCCTATTAATTAACACACCAAGCACGAATTTTCTCTGAGAAGAACACAGTTTTTAGTCTAATCAGTCTTTGGCAAATTGAAAAAACAAACTTCCTTATTTGGCGTTAAACGAGGAACATATGTTCCTCTTTGGTTGGCACGCTTTTCTATTTACGTGTGTTTACAATATTCTTCCAAAAAATGCCAGATATTGCAAACCATCTTTATTCAAGAGGAACTAACCTCACCCATGCATGATACCATTTAGAAGATTTAAAAACTGCCCGAAGGCGTTCAACAGCACTACTGCATCTCCCCTTCAACATTACTAGTTTCCTTATGCTTGTGACGACTGTTTTTTCTGCAAGTTCTGGAATGTATACTGTAGGGCAAGGCATCTTGTCTACTGTTTCTCTGAAGAAGGTATTAACACCTCGTAGGGATGTTCTCATAAACAGAAAGGACTTTCAGGTAATCTTAATGATAATTTCTAGGACATCGTTGTTTAAAAATTGCCCTGTGTATCCTGATCCTACTCCATTCTGTAGCTCGTCATTTTTGTCCGCACGACTTATACCTTCACTTACTGTACCCCCCTTACTTCTGCCAACTTGTTCCTTGTCCCCGTCAATTCTGAGAACATAACCTTCATCCTCTTTACCTTTGCCTGATACTCACAAGGAACCTCAAGGCCAATTCTACACCAACTCTCTTTACTCGTTTCCCGTTGACTATAACCTTTCCATTGTTGAGTCGTCAGAACGTTTTTTTGGATCCTTTATATAATTTTAGGTTCGGCATGAGTGTATAAAAGTCTCCCAATCTTGGTTCCCACTCAGTCACATACTCGTGATATCCCCTAAGGAAAGAGTTTACCTATACAATTTCCTGTGACATTTTAGCCATTCAGCTCACCTTTGATTTGATGTGATATCTTCTGAAATTTTTTAAATTTTTAAAAATTCTTACTCGTGCACAGTGTGGTGTAAAAGCGTAGGAGAGAATGTCCTCTGTGGGATTTTAGATTTCGTTGTGATTTTAATTTGTTTTAGCTTAGTTTAGATGTTAATTACAATTGTGACCAAATGTTATTACACTTGTGACCTTTATTACATTTGTGAACAAATGTTATTACACTTGTGACCTTTATTACATTTGTGACCAGTTATTACATTTGTGCCTTCAACAGACCCTCCCCCTTTTAACAGCCCATTTTTCACGACCCCTCCCTTTTCTGCAGTCTCAAAAAGTTGTGACCCTCCCTCTGTTTCCACCCTCCCCCTCCCCCTGCTAATTTCCGACAAGTCCCTAAGTTATAAATTTATAATGTAAGAGAAAAGAACTTCTTTTTTCTTCAGTGGGTGAACCTCTACATGATCAGGGACACATATTAACAGCCCATTTTTCACGACCCCTCCCTTTTCTGCAGTCTCAAAAAGTTGTGACCCTCCCTCTGTTAGTTGATTCTTTACATCTCCCTTTATTTCCTTTATAATATTAATATCAGTGGCATAGGTTGATACTTGTATTTCTTGTTATATGTGTTCCCCCACCTGCACAACACATATTCAAAGGGATATGTTTTTCCTTACCTGGGAAACACATATCCATATTGACATGAGTTGTCCTACCTATAGAAATTAAAAAGAGTAGTTGACAACATGGAACCTTTCCTTTACATGTAAATGATTGGGTTAATTTGTCATCAATTTTAACTGCCGATTTATCATTTGAGAACATGGATATTAACCCATTCGCCCCTGAACCGCCCGTAACCGCCCGTGCAGATCCAGGTCCTTTCTACCCACTGTGACGTCATCAGTTCTAACGGTCAAGGACAACTTTCTTCGCTAACTTGTGCAGAGTGAAGAGATCTTTCAAACCATACCAAAATGAGCACAATTCAGTCAAGGACACCGGAGAAACAAGCAAAAAACCACGTGACATTGACCTGAAAATCTCCATGAAAATCTTGTTCCACTACCCACCTACCTTTCCTTTCAACTAATCCTGAGATCCTAAAAGTTTTCCTAAAAACTCTTCCCACCAAAATGAATCCTACTAAATGCCCAGCAAGAGAAAAAAAAAATGAGGCAAGAAAAGCGAAAAAAGAAGGGAGGAGAGAAAGCGAAAAGTAAAAGTCAAGACTGCTGTGTCACTTTTAAGCCCAAAAACTATGTCGAAATTTTGCTTTCTGCGCATGCCCGAACTTCGCAAGCTGATATTTTGCATCTGGATCAGAAGGCCGCCAAGTGTACGACCTGTAAACTGGTTTGTGGTAAGTTTTAGCTCTTTATAGCACGACAGTGACCAGAAAACCACTCGACTAGCTTCAAAACGCGTTTTTCGACAAAATCTCCAGGAGTGAATGGGTTAATAACAGGAGAAGGTGTCAAATTTAACTAAACTAATATATTCAATTGAGCTTGTAAATATGACATTTCATACCTGAATAAACAGATTCACATATCATAACATTGCCCAGCTTTGTTTATTACAGTCAGTTCAACAACTTAAATTCAAAGTTCCTTGTGAACAGAGCACAACTAGTACTGAAAGCTCTGTATTGTGAAGTTACCTTGACTTACCTTAAAACTTGCAGCAAAACACTACTTAACAACTCAACTCATTAGCGGCTCTGATCAGCCATATGTTGCACATTTCAAACGCTGTGGTCGAGAAAAATCGCATCTCTTTGCAAGCTGCTTCATAAATAATAATCACGTAACTAACAAAAGCAGGCAACAAGTTTGGGCACTTTCTCTTAACACACTGACGTTAGAAAATAATTTTCCGGGCATGAAACGTGGGACCCAACTAAGGGACATAAGCACAATTGAAAAAAAAAAATCAATTTGAACCAACGTAAAGGCCTATTAAGTATCTTATTTACAATCCTCTCGACCATCCAGGGCTCGACATTAACGGCTGCCGGCTTGCCCAGGGTAACTAAAACTTTCATCTGGGCAACTAAGTTTAGGATCCTTGTTGCCCCATAGAGCAACTGCAATTTCTATAATTAAGTTGTAGGTTAACATGGCTCAGTATTTTTGTATCAAGTCTATCTTTCGAAAAGTCAAAACTGTTCTTTATATTTGTGAAGGTTTGCATCTACGTGTGTTATGCGTGACTGCGTAAATTAAAAAGAGATTGAAATATGATCTTGAATTTCTGCCGCAAATAATTTTCAAAACCTGGAATGTTTTTGCAAGCCTTTCAAAAGATACTACAAAACATACAGCAAAAATTAGGGGGGCATAGATAATAAAAGAAACCTCTGAGTGTACCATTTATGTTTGTAGCAAGATAGAAAATGCTACAAACTGGCAAAAGTAATGTCACGTCTAATTTGAAACCTCTTGCTTTTCCAAGGATTGCTACTTTTTGTCAGTTCTTACTTCATGCAATAGCGACTTAATGTTTCTGATGCTGGGGGAAAAGTCATGATTTTAATATTGAAGGTTTTTCGAAAACTATTAAATTCATTTAATGCCGTTTTCAGATGAGAAAAATGGACAACCAACTGGACAGAAATACGCTGACCTGAACAAACTGTCTCTTACAAAAGGTGCTAAAATTACAAACATATTTTCCCAATATAAATAGACTGTACCTAGTCATTTCTTGTCCACTACAAAAGAGCTACAAGATGATACATTTCTTTGACAGATCACATACAAAAAAGCCAGAATCTAGACTTTTTTCTGATTGGATAGGAAACAATACGGATGATTTGAGGTGTTCCGATTGGCCAAAACCCTGTCATCCGTTAGTTGTTGTTGTTTTTAGTCTGCAATTTTGCTTGCATAATGAGCAGTGAATACACCTGCAAGTTTGTTATCAAATTTCTGCCAGCTCAGTTTTTTTCGAATTTGAAGAATGTCTAAATAGAAATTTCATCCATTGAAATATTTTCCATTTCATCGTATACTAAAAATTGCCGTCGAAAATTCACCGATCATTTGAATGCAATTTGATACTGGCTACAAGTTACAGAAGCGAAAAACTGGTTCACTTTTCAAATAATCAATTCAGGAATGGACCCTTGACCTGGTTTGACTGTAATTCCTCCTTCAGAAACCCGAGAATTAATCTGAGCGATCTTCGCTTTCACAGCACTTTTCAGTTCATGAAATATGGTGCTTCAGCCCACTGCTTTTGGCACAGAACGAAGTCAACAAGCTTTTACCTGTAAATTCTTTATTATTTGTAGCTGTTCAATAAAGGTATGGCAGCTTCACCTAGCGGTATTTCATCACAAAAGAAAAACATTTAAAATTTTTTTTACAAAGCGCCAACTGAACGTACTTAAAAATTTCCTTTTCCCTGCAACTGATTTCGAAAGAGACATTATTCCCGCCAAAATTTGATTCCCATCTGGTAAATAAATGCTGATTGGCTAATAACATGACAGGTCCAGCAAACGTTAGATTATGCAAAATAGGGGGCGGTTGATGGCTTGTTAAATGAATGTATCAGGCGTTATTTTTTTCCCTCTCGAGCCAAAGAAACAAAGAAGCAAAAAAATAATAATAATAATGCCTGACCTCAGGTTAGTGTGTCGCTGGACACTGAATCATTGCTAAAAGCTATCCAGGTTAAGTGTATCCAAGGCTTTGCAGAAGTGCCAATGAGTGCTTATGGTCTGCACATTAAGGGCCATGGTCGTAATGAAAAGCTCATATTTATAGGTTTCACTACCTAACAGTGGTAGTCTTTACACTGGAGCCTAAATAAGCTAAGAAATATTTCAAGACAAGTAAATCTTAAATTCTTCAAGGAAAAAAAAGCTTCACACATAACCTATATTTTTCACTCCAGGTTTACTTAAGCCTATTTTCCCACACAATATAATTAAGATTGATTGAAATGCTTCGCCTGTCTCAAAGCTTAGAAAGCGCAAGTTCGCTAAGTCGGTTTTAAGAATGGTTTTCAAGTCACTTGAAACTTTCTTGAATAGTTTCAACGTTCCAACTTTAATGAGATGCAAAGTAAAGTTACTTGAGATTTTACTTAGGCCTTCACACACGCATTTTTGGCTAAGTAAAACTTAGCAGCTGTTACGTCTTACTTAACAGTCTAGTGTAAAGACAACCAGTGTATAAAGGCTGACCTCGCTGGGCTTGTATGTACTTCACGAATGCATTGGAGTTGTCTTTTCCTGTCACTGTCAAATATCTGTCAAAATCAAATTTCACGGGGAAAATGCAATTAAAACTCAGAACATCCAGCAAAATACTTTCAAAACGTTCGGCAACACATTCCGTGTGCATTCTTACCGTTTGACATGTAAAAAAGACCAAGAATCAGTGAATGGTGTCCTCCCATCTGTTCTTGTCCTAAACTTCTGAAAATGTAGCTCACATGCGCGGCAGCTCAGTCTTAACTGGGGTGCTTGCATGAGGTCGAGGCAGCATAGAGTTAGTCAAGGGGAGGGGAGGGGAGGGGTAAGGGTCTCGATGGGGTGGTAACTTTGACGGTTAACGGTTAATTTTTTTCAATTTTCACGGGAGACGATTTTAAAATTTTCGAGCTTTCGACGGTTGACGATTATTAAGTGGAAATTTAGTTTCAGAGTTTAAGAAAATATCAACAGCTGTCTCGTGATGGCTACAATCCCGCTCTGTTGTGAGCAAGAGCCATTATGGCTCTTGGTTTTGAGTTCTTTCAGTGTCGTGTTGATGTCTTGCAGAGTTAATTTTCACGTAGTACGATCAGCATTGCAGTGTTCTGCTTGTAGAATTTAATATGTCTACTTTAAATTAATATTAACTTTTGTGTTTTGGAGGTTGTCCTGGCCTTTTGCTTTAAAAACTTCGAAATATTTTCAAATATAAAGCAAGTTGAGTGTGTTTTTGAGAACGTGGGAACTGAGTTTTCTAGTTTAGAGATTCTGCAGGAGCCTGAAGCCCGTGAAGATAAGCTGAAATAGTGAGATTTGAGATACCTTGGTACTTTTTGACAGTCAATATTAATCGGCATTTCTGTGACCAGGGTTCTATCTAGGGTATTTGAGGGGTCGACAATTTTGGTCGAAAACGTTGAGTTTTTTCATTGCTTGTTTTTCGGGTGTAATAGACATAGATGTTTTAAATAGGAAGGAGCATGTCTAGACTATAAAGATTTCGGCGATTTTAAGTACTGTAAGTAGTTGCTAAATTTGAATTTTTGCAAGAGGTTAGCCCTTGATTTTGGTCAAAAATTTTGAATTTTTTCATTGTTTGTTTTTGGGCAAAATAGGTCTAGAAGAATGTTTAGATATGTTTCAAATGGAAAAGAAGCATTTCTAGACGAAAAATATCGCTTGGATATACCGTATTTCCTCGAATAATAGCGGTCTCTCGATTAATCACCTCCCTCGAAAAATCGCCCCCTTTTAACGGAACTAATAATCGCCTCCCTCGAATACTCGCCGCCCCTCAACCCTTTCTCCATCTTCTCTTCCTTTTCCCCTCCCGGTCAAGTTGAAGTGCAATGTGATCCAGCAAAACTGGTCAGTGATGATTCAAGCTCTGAAAATTAATCAAGGAATTTAATTTGGAAAACTTAAAAAGCCCATGTTCAGTTTATTTGATGTGATTAATGTTTGATTTACTGGGGAAAATAAACAAAATATTTAGGGCACGACTTCCAATGAGCAAAAGTTGAAATAATCGACCCCGGCTATTATTCGAGGAAATACGGTAGTCTCCAAGTTTGAATTTTTCCAAAGGGGTTTCATGACCCGCGGAGTTTTTATGGCGAGTTTTAATTATGATCGGCTCCCAATTCAAATTGCTTTAGAAGCTGGAAGACAGTAAATGACACAAAACAGAGAAGAGGTTGGTTATTTTTATTTGGAATCTCACTCTAAGTCTTTCAGTTCAATTTGCATCGGTTTACGGCAAATGGCAAACGTGCCGAGCGACTAAGTTTTCCCTTAACTTATCTTTAACCGTTCTTTACGTCCACACTGAAAGATATGTAGTTTCACATTATTTTTGTACATAAAAATTGTTTTAGACTGTTTTAGCTGCCATATTCAATTTTGGGAATTCCCCTGGGGGGCCCCCGGGGGAGAATTCCTTAATTTGAGTCTGCCGTCTGGCGTTTGTCCTAAACGTAACTCAAAATCTCTCAAGATCATTGAGTTAAGTCGAGCCAGCTCTCCGTGATAGGGCACGAACATCGTGATGGGAATAAAGAATCTTCTTCTCAGACATAAATGGTCGATTTTTACTCGTTTGCCGGCAACTACTCTTCCCTAGTACCCAGACCTCACTATTCTGAGATATTTCGTGGCATTGACCGAGAAGGCCTGGGAAGATGGCAAACAGGGAGCAGGGTAAATCCATTCATCTCTCCATCCAGGCGGACTGCTAGACTTACAGTGATCCCTAGGGCGTTCGAACATGCGAATTGACAATGTTCTCTGTATTTCTTTGACTGTTATGTTGGCTTTACCTTTATTTCCACCTTGGTCAGATTAGCACCATTCCAAGTACCCCAGCGAATCGTATAGTTACCATCCGCATCTCTTCCGGTTGGAAACGCGTCTTGATCGCAACTGCTAACCCACCAAGCACCTCGTAACTGTGAAAAGCAGCCTATATTATTAGGTTTGTCATGAGTCGCAAACTTGACATCATTGAGGGCTGACAACGCATCTCCTGCACCACCCCCTGAAAAATCATTTAAGTACAGCTTCATGTCTATTACTGACAGTTGATGTTACATAACATTACGTAACATCGCGTTATGTTACATTATTACATTACGTTACATTACATTGCAATACAGATCCACTAAAGATCCACTAAAGATTTCCCCGTTTGCACCTGAACTGTTTTTGCCCGACGATAGACAACTGTATTTTGAAAATGGGAGTGAAGTCCCGATTCTACCCCTAACTGGAAGCGTCTTAGCACTGGAGTACAAAATAAGGAAAACTGGGTAATGTCTATCACTGATAATTTCTAAAAATGCTTTAATCTATCTGCACACCCCTCCCCAGAATATGTGAAGAATGACGCCCTTTCAGATATAAAAATATTGAATTGCTGTAGGAGCCACTAAAATATCCCTTAAAAAATTGGAAAAGTACGTGGCTCAATTTAGGTTTCTGGGAAACTGCCAACCTACCCCTCCCCTAAACCAACAATTTGACCTTACTTAGCCATAAGTGTTAATGTTTGCTTAGGGGAGGGGTAGGTGGGCAGTTTTCCCAGAAACCTAAAATCCCGACTGCAAATCCAAGGACAATGCTCTAGTGGTACTTATTTTACAAGGCCCCCAATCATCTTACCAATAAATTTTCCAACAATAAGCTTGTATTTCGTAGTCCAATCGCCTATCGAACAATCACTGTACTCCGCATAGATAAGTACGCCGTCTTCAGCTTCAAAATCGAACCTGAGATTGACGGGAAATTGTCCGCAAAGTTGCCATAACTTTTTCAGTCCAATCCAAAATTCACCAGATATACTTCCGAATCCTTCCACATAGGGGAAGTATCTTCGAAAAAAGTTCACAAAGCCGTCGAATCGGCGCATTATGACAGTCCAACCGCCGCCAGCGGTCTCTTGGTCGCAGTATGCGCGAAAGGGACCCATTTCATCGTTTTCCTGCGCAAGGTCGGGTGTAGGATGGACACGATAGCTGCCACTCTCCACGTAATTTGCATCTAGAAGCTCTTTGCAGTTTTTAAGTACTTTGGAAGCAAAAATAAAAACATAAAAGGGAAAGTCAGATTATAATTATTTTAGTATTATATTTTCACGTGTCTCTAATTTCTTCTTTTTCATATAGAAATAGGGGATATAAATTTATATTAAAACCACAAAAAATAGGCAACTATTCGAATTATTTAAAGTCTTTGCTCAGCTCATTAGTCCCCAAGAAATCTACGAATAAATTTCCTAAAACCTACTTTACAGTTTACTTAATAAGCGCCTCTAACAGACAGACAATTCACTAAAAGGAACATAAACTTATTGAGAGTTACTTAATTCAATGCTTCATGAACCCTGGAAAACTCAGTGGTTCCTTGTGGCGTTTCGGACTGAAATTTGAATCAGATATCGACGTCGGACACCTGTAGCAGACATTGGACACCGGATATCAGATATCGGACATCAGACATCAGACATCGGACATCAGACATCAGACATCAGACATCAGACATCGGACATCACAAAGCAGACATTGGATATGGGACATCGGACGTCAGACATCAGACATTAGACAGACAGACATAGGACATCGGACATTGAACATTAGACATCAGACTTCAGACATCAGACATCTGACATACGACATCAGACATCTGACATCAAAACGCGGACATCGGACATCTAATTTCAGGCCAAAAGGGGGTCAAAAAATTATACTTTTATTTGCCAGGGGCGATACACAGGAGGTTGAATCGGTGGATATTCAACCTTCTTTTTAGCCTGGTAACTTGTTGTTAAAAAATTTTAACGTTTGCACCTTTTTTTCATGTCAGTGCGTGATAACGTGTACTCAGTAGTAAGAGTACACGGTTTTAGGGTTGTAATGTATTTCTTCTATTTTGTAGCGTTGTAAGAATGTTCGTTGTTACGGGTTCGTATTTATAATTTCTCAATTGCAGTGTTTTAGGAACTCAATAGGACAAATTAAACTAAACCTTTTGTTTCCTGACCGATTGGTTTTACCCACCTCCTCTTAGCCTGAGATCATACCCACCTCCTCTTAAAAAACTGACTTGGGTCCGTCCCTGTTTGAGCGCATAGCTGTATAGCGCATATAAGTAATCCCCAGTACAACGTCGTCAGAGATTGAGTAGTTGTCATTTTTACCTCCATGAAACTTAAACTGTCGAACCGTATGAAGCAGTCAGCGCACCCAGTAACTAGTGTTGACTACTCGATGATACTAGTGTGAAATTAGTAAAGATAAGGAAAGATAGAACAGAAATCTACGACTGTAAGTTTTTTCTTACCTGGTATTCCTGATTTCACGTTCATGTATGAGTCCGGAATGGATGCTGTTAGGCAAAAGGCAAAGTGATAACGAAGTTCAGTTCATGTTTTTTGCCCTGTGTTTACAATTTGTATAACCAGGGGGCAGCTTTCGAATTGAGGGAGTGAGGGGTTGACACCTGGATGGACACTGGAATTTCGGTGAAGGGAAGAGAAGGGACACATATTTTTTTGGCCTGTTTGGAGATTTACCTATTTTGAACGGAAAATACAATTTTATGTCGGCTATTACTTCGAGGAGTCACACATCGGAAATTGCCAGGAGCGGGCATCACACATCGACCAGAGAATACGATTATATGTGGGCTAGTCCTAAACGAGTCAGACATCGGACATCATACATGACACAGAATACTTTTTGCAATCTTACGTGAGTTAGCCCTAAACGGACTCAGAAATCGGACAGCTCACATCACACAGAGAATTCAATTTAATGTCGGCCAGTCCTAAACGAGGTCCAAAGGTCTCGTAAGGAAATAGTAAATCGTGCTAAAGGACTTGGTTTAAAAGCCTCAGCGGAACCCCTTTATCCAAACATCACATATCAAAATATAGAAGGGGAACAACTGGTCTTAAGTCAAAGGAAACTGAAATCTTTCCAATCTCTGTCATGGTACGTTTAATAGCAAAAAGATTCCCCTTAAATAATATAAAGAACCGTAATGTGAAGAAAAGAAAGTGAAAGTGAAGATACCTGAACATGGCAAAGGAAGCATTGTGCTTGTTGGGCTTAAGCTGTTACTGTTGCTGATGCTACTGCTACTGCTGCTGCTACTGCTGCTGCTACTGCTGCTGCTACTACTGCTGCTACTGCTGCTGCTACTACTGCCGCTAGTGGTAATGGTAATACCACTGCTGATACCACTGCTACCGCTACTGCTAGTGCTTCTCGTAATGGTGCTACCGCTGTTGCTGGTACTACTGCTACTGATGCTAGTGGTAGTTGTGCTACCCCAGCTTCTGCTGCTGGTGGTGCTGCCGCTAGTGTCAGTTGTAGGTAGAACTGAACAGACCGAAGGAGATGGCTGAATAGTCTGAGTTCCAGTGCAATATGGATCTGCAAACAGTATATAGAGAGTTGTAAGGCCTAGGTGTATCTTTGTCTACGTAGCAATAACAATAATTACAATAATAGCTATAACAATATTTCATTGACTCACACTTAGAATGGTTACAAGAAACATGTTATATACATTACAAATTTACAATGGGATAACATGACATAGTAATAAATTATTTGGAGCCTAGAGGCTAAAGGAACCGTGAGGTTTTCGAGTTAGCCCCTAATGCTCTTTTGAGTTCGTTTTAATAAAAAAAAAAGAGAGAGAGAAAAGGAGAAGAACTAATGGCATAATTCAGTTATTAGGTCCTTTAAATTTTGGTTGTACACCACATTGTTTTAGCTTCTTATATCCATGGCCTATACTTTACATCGGGTGCTCTTCTCCTAAAAAAAACGTGTAAATTGGCATCGCTTACACTTTCTACTGGCTGAGCTAAGGACAATACAAATATATCAATGAATAAACGAAGTTTACATGATGATTCTCTTAAAAGAATTAATCTGTATAATGCATACTGATCGTTGTTTTATAAAAGTAGTAAAAAAAGTAAAAATAAACAATAACAATTGCCCCATACGAATGGAGACCTTTGACGATGACAAAAGGGAACACTCAATCTCACTAGTAATACCCGACAAATTAATATAAATGGCCTTGGTGGATGGATGGGTAAACAAGCTGAGTGATCATAAATAAGGACGTTTTGTAGGCCAAGAGGTCCTTGGCTGCAAACGATTGACACTTAGTGAACGAAAAAGTTATTACATCGTATCTTAGTTAGCGTACCAAAGAAACATTTGTGACAGTTCACTGTAGACACGATACATTTACTAACTATGTTCTGACCTGAGGGGCCACTGCAAACGTACATTGCTAGCTTCATGTTAGAAGACACACAGCGCCCTCCTTCGAGATTGGAAAGGGATGCACTAGTTCCATTGGAAGTCGCTGATAAAGGAATTTATAACAAAACAAACTCAATACGAATGAAATGATGACTAGTTCTCCCAAATGTGTCTTAGTATCTACCTAACTAGCCGAGGCGTTTATGTTTTTAGGAAAGACTTGCTCTGCCCATATAAAGCAGTTTGTTTTACGAACTCCTCTATAAGTAAGACACTCCGCTAAAACTGACACTCAGGGGGGCACCCAGGAATTTTTGATTGGGGGGAGGTCCCAACTTTGGTTCAGAAAAGGCTGTCGAGCTTTTTTGGTGGCAATTACATTTCCTCCAACCCCCTCCCCCACACACACCCCCTCCCACCATTCGTGGTTACACGTTATAATTCCTTGGCCCCATACTGTATCCTTGAATTCTACTTTGTAAAGGATCCACACCCTTGGAACATCTTCCTTTTGCGCGTTTAATTAAAAAAGTCACCCAGTTAAAACGTCTTCTGTCCCGTTAAAAGGTGTCCTTCCTAAAGAGAGTTCACTTAATACAGTTTTATGATTTTAAGGGAGTCATCCATTCATTGGTTGAAATGGAAATAACAAACCTCTTTCTACCGATAGGTTTTTCATTCTTTAACGCATTTTCAACCCCCTCGTAGGCTGTTGTGTGTTTTTGGAGGCAGCAAAAAAAAAATGATTCTAGTTTTCAGAAAGTTCTTTCTGCAGTGATCGAGCGCCAGCTTGTTCCCCTGGGAGGTACGCAACAAAGTTTCTTAGGGGGAGGCTCACGCTCCGAGGTCCAACCCGTCTTAACCTTTCAAAAACCATTTTAGACATTCGTACACCTTCTATTGACAAATGGTAATTCACGTACTTCACGTACCTAGTTTAGAACTTTCCATCCCTTTTAACTGCTGTAAATGCATTGTCTTTACAATACGAATGAATTGCCACTAAACCAGGAAGTTTTCTTGTCTTTTTTACAGCCATGAAGTGCGTCTGTTAGCCCCTTTTGGTCTTTTTACAGACCAAAATGACAGATTTCCCAACCATTTCATATACAGTAGAGCCCAGGTAACTCGAACTCTGGAGGGAAACGAAAAACCGATCGAGTTTGCGACGAATTAGCCTGCGAACAGCAGACACATTTTCCGGATTTTCGGAGAGAGAAAAGCGACGACCGGAAATGCGTCTGCTGTTCGCAGGCTAGCGACGAATTCGAGTTATCGGGTTTAATTTCAGTGAAATTTTATTCAAGGGAGAGGAAATTTAGTTCTTGTTAGCGGAGAATCGAGCAGAGTCCTCCCCTCCCCTCCCCTCCTCGGGGGCTCCTTCTTACCTATAAAGTAATAGGTGATTCCTGGTGTAAACTCAAGTCCTCCCGGTGGACTTTTAGATCTAAACACCATCTCATAATAGCTTAACTGCAAAGGATTTCGGCAGATCATAAGATTTCTATTAACCAGAGGATCGCTTAAGACGCTTGTATTTACACTGCATGTATCGTATTCCTGTTTGTCCACTATCCACATGTTCTCGTACATTTGCTCCTGTGGTATACTGGAGTCTTGCTCAGTTAATACACTGGCTGGGTTGGGACATATGAAGTTGCGCTTGGAATTTAGATGGACTTTAATCTCCACTGGTTGCTGAAATCTAAAGATATCAAGAAATGTTCATTTCGGGATTTATGCTACTACATGAGAAATTACTGCAATTTGATTGGCTTAGGCAGTGGTATTTCAGCTTAATTTGAAATACCTACATGTGAAAATTACAAACCTTTTGTGGGTACGTGATATTTGGCATAAATACCACTCGCGATATTTCAAAATTGTCTCAAATTTCACTCGCTTAACGGCTCGTGAAATTACGCATAACAATTTTGAAATATCACTCGTGGTATTTATACCAAATATCAATACAAATCATGCTATTACCTATACTTATACTACTACGTGAGAAATTTCTGCAATATGATTGGCTTAGAGCAGTGGTATTTCAGCTTAATTTGAAATACCTACATGTGAAAATTACAAACCTTTTGCGGGTAGTAGTATAAGCAAATAATAGCATGATTTGTACGTGATATTTGGCAAAAATACCACTCGTGATATTTCAAAATTGTCTCAAATTTCAAATTACGTATAACAATTTTGAAATATCACTCGTGGTATTTATACCAAATATCACTACAAATCATACTATTACCTATTCAATTCAAAGTAGACAGACTGCAAATTATCTTAGTTGCTAAAAAATATATATCTACGTGTCGCAACTGTTCATCAGTAGGATGCCTAAATTGCTTGCAATTCCACAATTGGTTTCGGCTCCATTAAATCCTATACCAGTTGCAGAACATTTTAGGAGGAGCCACCCACCATGTGAGCACAGTCACGGACAATGTATTAGTGAGGAAAATAACGCAAAGTAAAATTAAGACGTTAATAAACGAACTAAATGTACACGTCAATTAAATAAATAAACAAATAATGCGCGCGCTCAAAATAAAATTGTACGCGCTATACAAATTATGAGGATGCCTATATACCGAGCCAGGGGCCCGTTTCTCGAAAGTCCCGATAATTAACGGGCCCGGTAAGCTATCTCCGTTTACATTAAAGATCGAGGTTTCAATAGTTTTGCATCTGACACGATAAAACTGTCAGTTAATGAAACAGTAGTTTGCTTGGGGATTTGAATATTTGAGTGTAAAGTTACCGGGACCAAAACTCAGGATCGGCCAGGGGTGGGGTGGGGGGTAGTGGAATACCAAAATACCCGAAATTATACTAAAACTCATGTAAAAAAAACAAAATTAAGAAAACCAAGATATGCTTTATACCCAAAATTACTTGTGAGTGAATACTTTATACCCAAATTTACGCATAAAATACATATACTGTATACCCGAAATATACTGTATACTCAAAGACCCTGGTTGACCGTGAGGACTCGATGCAGGACTCGACAATTTTTCGCTTTCCCGCCATTTTCACCTCCTGCCAGTCACATGACCATTAAGAGTAGGGTTTCGTGGCAATCATAGAAGGTTAGGGTAAGGGTTAGGGTTGTGGCAATCATGGAAGTACGGCCTGGCTCGAGTCCTAGCTCGAGTCCTGGTTTTGATGTTAGTTTATCTCATAAATTATCTGACTTATTTTATGTCAAGGATTCGCATTGAGGATTTCGAGGTGAAAGGGGAGCGATATTTGGAATTGAAAACGCATAGTTTTTACACAGCTTCGTGTGGACGGGGTATTAAACCACCCTGCATTTTTGCGTGGTTCATTGTCTATATGCGGAGAGCGTCGAACATGTTATTCCGTCGATGAAATATGACCCTGTGGTCCCTGATTTAAAAGTGATTTCTGAAGCCTGGTGGCCTTCGACTGTTAGGCTTGTTTGTTGGAGCACTGTCTCGAGTTTTGTTCGCAACAAGAAAAGGCTTATTTTGGGAACTATATAAAATATTGTTCGCCTAAAATAACTGAAAGTACAAAACACCGCTCTATTAGCCATGAATGTTTACGTACTTACATTGGATTACGCGGGTCCCAGTGAAACGAGGGCTGGAATCCAGCACAGCAAACACCAGCCGCCAGCCAAAGATGGAGAAGATCTTGAATGGATATCATCATCGTCCTTTTCCAGACGATAAAAAGGACAGCTTTCATGCGGACAAACTTCATTAGTTTAATCTTGCACTTGTTCAAAATGAATTTTTATTGAAATGTTCGAACAAAAGACATAACGAATAATAAACCATTTTCAAATCTATTGATTCTTTGCCTTTTGTTAAAGCTAGATATTCCTGGGGGAATAATCCTTCCTTATGCATGTTTACGTCAGACGAAAAAACTTCGTAAATTTGCCAAGTTTTACGTAAATGAATTCCCACAGCAGTAAACTAAGTTGAAAAGATTACCCATGCACAACAAGTATAAAATAATGCGCAGTGTTGTTCGGAAATTTGCTTGTGTGACGTACTTTTTGACTTTTTCATATATCTTTTTGTATTTTCAGTAATTAACCTCGCTTTTCTAGGATAGATCATGGATGTTTATGCCAAATTCTGGAGGGAAGAAGTTTTACCTTTTTGTTCATGAGCGGAACCCAACGTTTGTACATAGGAATTTACGTACTTACTGCATTGTAGGAATTGTAACAAAAAGTCCTATTCAAAGCGCTGGCTTTCAGAATAACATTCTAGGATTTAGAGATTTTAATCGCACGCGACTAAAGTGAAATCCAGCCCGTTGATCGTAGTTTAATTACTACTCGGTGGCCTTTGAATTAAGGCTCAGTAGTGTATTTAGTAGTGTACAAAAACTTAATTATTTTTAACAATATATTACCGTAACTATAAGCCTTAGGGCGCCTACCGGACTTGCTTACATCACATAGTATTCAATATAGTTCTCATAAGCCTCTTTCCCTTTGTCGAATCCCGCCAGAGAAGTGTGACGCAACCTCTGTCCACTTTAAGCATCGACGACAGCGACGGCATTGAACTATTGAAAACGTCACTTTTAAAATGAATTAGCGTTTTTTTTTCAAACTTTGTCGCGTTTATTCCAATTCGCTGAAAATGTCTAATGTAGGCTAATTTTCCTGGAGGTAATTTCTTATAAGGACCGCACTCAAGTTTAAAAAGAGAAAGAAAATTTCGTCGTCGCTTGTTTAAGTCCTCCATAAAACGTGAAACTGGGCATTTTCACGCCGTAGTCGTGCAGTGACGGCAAAGAAATGAACAAAAAAGCGTGATGCACGTGCAAAGTTGTTGTTTTGCTTAATAAACCTATTGCTGTTTTGACGTTCTCGTTGCCGTCGCCGTGGCCGTTGCTAAAACTCCCTAATGAATAGGATGGAGGCTGGTCCCTTACATGGTAACAATTTTGTTAAGTAAAGGTAAGACTTTAGAGTATCGACCACGCGTTGTGAAGACAGCGATTATAAAGATATACGTAGAGCATTCCATAAAAGCAATCATGTGTTGCTGTTTATCATACTGTTATTATGGTGTACAAGAGTACAAAGTGATTCAAACTTTTTAGTCAGTGGATGAAATCCTATGATGTGACCATTCAAATGAAAGCTACTGAGCAGTACTTTCTTGTGGTACTATTTATTATGCTGTACAAGGTGCTTCTAACTTTTGAGTCTGTGGATGAAATCCTGTGGTGTAACCATTCAAATGAAAGCTACTGAGCAGTACTTTCCTGTGGTACTGTTTATTATGCTGTACAAGGTGCTTCTAACTTTTGAGTCTGTGGATGAAATCCTGTGGTGTAACCATTCAAATGAAAGCTACTGAGCAGTACTTTCCTGTGGTACTGTTAGTTAAACTGTACACGGTGGTTCTAACTTTTGAGTCTGTGGATGAAATCCTATGGTGTGACCATTCAAATGAAAGCTACTGAGCAGTACTTTTCCATTTAGGTTTTACGAAGAACAGTTATTTCCTTTCGTGCTTAGTTCGACGGGATTATTCTAATCTTATCTTCATCTCTGCTCGTGATAAAGAAAAGGCTTCGCCTTTCCACGCCTTCCATTGTATTCCTACTATTCCAGAAGCGTGTGTCCCGTTCAGGTATTGACCAGTAAGGCAGACTTGCTGGCAGTCATTATACCACCAGCCACCCTTCGCCAATTGTGCGCAGTTCACGGATGAAGGTCTAGATGCGTCGTTGTCGGCATTTTTCGTTGAGAATTTCATGTTGTTATGGTACGAGAATGAATCACCAGCATTACCAGCTGTTATTAGACAATCAAAAAACGTCACTTAAAATAGCTGTGTCACAAAATCCCGGGGGGGGGGGAAGACTCCGCATATAAAAGGGGTGGGGATGCTCGTCGTCTCGCGTAGGGGTGTAAATTTCAGATTTTGGTCTCACTTAGGATGTTCTGGGCAAAACGCCATCATATTTAGCCGTGAAGGTCTCGTTTAGGGTTGCACGCGAAAAAATCTGAAAATATATATTTGATATGTATATTTTTAATGCGTTTCATTTACTCCATTCATATAATCCAAGTTTTCTCATTTGTCTGTGTTTTAACATGATCTCTTTTAGGGGTCAAAAAAAGCTTGGGCCACGCCCAGATCGGTCTCCTGTAGGGGTTTAATTCAAAATTTCCCAGGAGCATCCCCACCCCTTTCATATGCGGAATCCCCCCCCCCCCGGGGGGGGGGAATTTAGAAAAATTTCAAGGATGGCAACTGCCTCCAAATTGAGTGAAACATAACAATTACCCAAACATAACGATAAACGTAAAATAACGTTAACTACAAAAGGAGGCCCAGATGAATAAACTTGAAGAAGATTAAAACGGATTGCAGTTGTGGTTTTTAAAAACTTGTTAACCTAACAGTTTTTCAAAGTTCACTTTTGTTGTTTGCAACGTTTGGTGTACTGCTTAGAAGACATATTTGTTTGAGTCGAAGCTGTGCTTTTGAGATTCTTAAGTTCCAAGGCCAACAACGTCGCAGTTTCCGCATTCCGAGCCCAAATTTTGAAATTCCGCTTCCCGGGTGCAGTCCGATCCCGTTTCCCGAATCCCGCACCGTGTTTTATTCAAATCCCGCATCCCGAGAATACCCTTCCAGACCCAGTTAGTCTAAATCCGGGGGGGGGTATGGTTTTCAAGCAGTTTACTCTGGGATAGGGTTGATAAATCAGAGTGTTTGGGTATAGAATTGGGTATCATTTTCCAGAAAACTGATCAGTTGGTCAAAGATTTTAGGCTAGACTAGGGAAACCGGGAATTGCCACTCAAAAATATAAATTAAATTAAATTTACGCGACTCAGCCTAAAAGCTGCTTTTGGATGGAGGGGGGAAGGTGGGGGGATTTGGGGAGTTTAGGTTATTATTTAGGTTATTATAGGGTAAGGGTTCCAGGGTCCCAGCGGCACATCCCTACCCAAAAATTCTTAAAGTCCCCCCCCCGGGTTCTTACCTGAGTAGTTTCCAACAGTTATCCGGTACTTTGTCGACCAGTCACCTAGTGAATTCCCAGTATACTCAGCGTACCTTTTCTCTCCATACGGGGCCTGGAGATCGAACCTGATGGTGAACTGTTTGTTAGCAGTCAATCTTCGCAACTTGCCCAAACCGATCCAGAATTCTCCAGTCATATCTCCCATTCCGTCCACATAGGCATTCCATCCCCGGTGAAAATCTAAACTGCCATCCATTCTTCGAAGGACGGTCGTCCACCCACCCGCTTCGGTCTCCTGATCACAGTGAACTCCGAAGCCGCCTTGTCCGTCTTGGGGATCAATTCGGTAAATACCGCTTAGCGTATAACTTGCGTCCATGATTTCTTTGCAGCTGTGAAGAACTTGGCAAAAAAGAAAAGAAATAAAATTAAATGAATATTTATGTAAGAAAATTATCTCAAATGGTTGATTCCATAGCTCAAACATTAACCACAAAGGATTGCAAAGGACGGCAAACGAATATGCCGAAGAACGTAGGATCTATAAAGACCTGATCAGCAAAAATAATAATGTAGACATATTAAATTCTGCAAGTAGAATACTGCAATGCTGATCATACTACGTGAAAATTAACTCTGCAAGACATCAACACGACATCGAAAGAACTCAAAACAGAGCACGATTGTAGCCATAGACAGCTGTTTTGCCCTTTTTGGGGCTCGTCAGTATGGCGCAACAACCAGAGAAAGCTCTGATGAAAAATATCCGCGCACTCTGATTTTAATCCCTGACCTCGAACCCTCAACACCCACAGAATCACGCTATTGACTTTCAAGTTCTGTGTTGTGACCATTCAAATGAAACCTCTTCAGCAGTACTTCCACATGGTAGCATTTGTTATTCAACATATGCCCAAAAAAACAAATTTATTTCAATGCTTTGTCACCTTTCACCTAGGAGTAAATAGGACTACCACTTGGTCATATCTTACTAGGGGCTTGTACTCCAAGAGGACATGCTGGTGCTATGGGGGCTACCTCTGTATAATTACTGCAGTTCTTCACTTGGTTCACCTCCACCTCCTGGGTTGTTACTGGTAAGGAAGAATTTATGCTTTGAACAAGAAGGTCTAGGCCAGGGAGCAAAGAAGTGTAGTTGTAGATCGCTGCCAACGCGTATGTCTGGTTCACGAATAGCGAGTAAAATTCTGCAGCAATGGACTCCCCTAAAAAGGGTAAAGAATCTTGTTACGTAACAGATTAATTGTGTTATTACACATTGTACTCACTATTTGTCTTCTCATTGGCTAAGAGCCTACAGCTTATTTTGGAAATCAGCGCAACCTACAGATTAGTTAGTTATCTGCTTGCAGATAACTGACTAATCTGTAGGTTGCGTGCGCAGTGCATGATTTTCTCAACAATATCAATTCAGGTTCCTTACGACGGTATGTTTGAGGTTATTTTCTTCAAAACAATGTACAATAAAATAGTTATTAGATTCGGTTTTAGTGTTATCCTAGATAATCAAGGTCTCAGTAAGTGTTATCAGCCTCGGCCTTCGGCTCGGTTGATAACATTTGATTATTCAGGATGTCACAAAAACCTCATCCAATAATTATTATTATTATTGGCCAATCAAGTTACATCTCTAGCTCTTCTTTTGAGGACTTGAATTTGGATCTGTTAGCAACATGGTATACGTAATAGAAGCTAGAAAATGCAATGCAATTAAGTGGTGTTATTTTAAAGATTTTTCTTTAATAGCAGAAAATTCTGATTTGTATCAATAATTTAGAGAGTCATCTGGAATTCTAACCCTGGCACTGGACATCGGTCGATGACGCTAACGCAAGCGCACTACTTGAGGGACTGATGGACGCTGAAATTGTCGATGACTGCATTGGACTGGACTGTTGAATAGGAGACAAAGAGATGCTCGGAGTTTCGAAAAATGACTGTACTGGACTGGACTGCTGAATAGTAGACGAGGAAATGCTTGGATTTCCGGAGGATGACATCATTGGACTGGACTCTTGAATAGGACACGCGGGGATGCTTGGTGTTGGGCAATAACTCACGGTCTCTGTCAAAGTTTGAGGAGCAACGGACATTGAATGAGATGAGGAAACGTCTGGAACATTGATGCATTTAGGATCTAAAAATAATAATAATAATGATAATCACAAAATTTATCTTAAAAATAAACAGATCGATTTCATATTATGCTGTTTTATGATTTGTCTGTCTGTTTTAATCAGGGGCACCCAACGAGAATATAGTTCAAAACCACTTAAACATAGCATTGTTAAACGTATTTTAGTATTTTTTAGTAGATATAGGCATATTTTTATCCCCTAAAAACTTTTTATCTGTTCGGATTTCCTAGCTGAAAGTCTAGTGATCCGAAAATTATAGGGATCAAAACTTACCTTTTCGAAAATTCCAGCCAGAAAAAAGGCTCCCGAAAATTCTAGGTGACCTTTTTTAGGGTAAAAATCCGTTAAAAATAGGTAATTATCCCATTTTTAGATGTTCGAAAATCCTAGGAGAGGCAGGCAAGCAAGAAATTTTACAAAAAATGTTCCGAAAATTCTAGCTCTCAAATCGTCTTCCGAACAGACATTTTCCGAAGATTGTCGTTGGGTGCCCCTGTTTTAATCCAAACCATATCAACATTAAGTACAAGTAACAACCGGCCAAAGGTTAGGAAGTGCGGGTGACAAAGATCGAAGGTCAAAACGCTTTTGCTCCGACGCTCTGCTTTGCTTAAGTTTTAACGTGACAGATGGTCAAAACACGCGTGATCAGTTTGCGAGGGGTAGAAGGTCGAGACACTCTTGTTCAAACTGCGTTCTTTACATTCCATTCATTCTTAATGGAAGTCCAAACGAGTTCTGGCTACATACACGCGACGCAAGTGTAATAACAACCAGGAGATTTGGACTGCGGGCTCCTCTTGTCACCCGCAATAACCAAAGGTTACGGAGTGCGGGCGACAACGATCGAAGGTCAGAACGCTGTTGCTAAAAACGCTGTGCTTTTCGTAAGTTTCACTTGACAGATGGTCAAAAGCTCGTGATCAGATCACGAGTGATAGAAGGTCCAAACGCGCGTGATCAGATTGTGTTCTGCGCATTCCATTTTGGAAGTCCAAACGAAAACTACATACTTGCCGAGCATGCGTAATAGCAGCCTGGAGATTAGGATAAATAATCAATAAATGAATGAAATATGATTTACGAGGGAGAACTTTCGGCAATTTAGATTTCCGGGTAGCTGACAACCTACCCCTCCCCAAGTCAACACGAACAATAGCTCGTCACTATCTAAGGGCAGAATAGTGACTTAAGGGAGGAGTAGGTGGTCAGTTACCTAGAAACCTCGATTTATCCGAACTTTCTCACCTGATGTTCCAACGCAAACATAAATAGCCATCTTCATGTTTGATGACAAACAATGTCCTCCCTCATGCGAGGCAAGCGATTGAATGGTGCCGTTCGAGGTTGCTAAGGAGAAAAATAACATCATAGGGTTAAAGCTTGTATTCTTGTGACAGAGCCGAATAGCTGGTACCCTGGGTGTCGGAGTTTAGTTTTTAGGCGGGCAGTGTCCCAGTAACGTTTAATGGTTTTGAACACAACCAGGAAAAGAGAAAGGGGCGAGGACGAGGTTGGGTGGGTGGGGGAGGGAGGTCCGTTGTGATCGAGGGTGATGGGGTACGGCATCCTATTGCCCATAGATCAGTTTAGGTTTCTGGGAAACTGCCCACCTACCCCTCCCCTAAGCTAACATTTACAATTACTGCTCACTTAGGGCAAAATGATAGCTTAGGGGAGGGGTAGGTGGGCAGTTTCCCAGAAACCTAAATTGCTCCTTGCCCATCTCCCCTTGGCGCACCTTTTGACCGAATTTAAATGTATCTCTCGCAGTTCATTTTTTATTTCAGGTAATTATTGTTTTCCTTTGTTTTTTATATTCATTCGCATACATAACCATACCCAAAAGAAGTGTAAAAATAAAAAATAACTGAGAAAAAATTAACTACCACATGGATACCCATACCTATAAAGTAATATTTCTTTCCTGGTGAAAATTCCAATCCTCCAGGAGTAGGACTATGCGATCTGAACACCATCTCATAATACCTCAGCTGTGAAGGATTCCGGCAGTTAAAAATATTCCTACTAGCCAGAAGAAGGCTTGAGACACTCGCATTTACAGTACACGTGTCATATTCACTTTTGTCGACTATCCACATGTTTTCGTTCATCTGTTCCTTAGGAATACTGCATTCTTGCTTCGTCAGCACACTGGCTGGGTTTGGACAAATGAAGTTGAGCTGGGAATTTGGCAGAACATTGATCTCAAGGCCATGCGGAGTGAACCTTTGAAAACAAAATTAAAAACCTTACATTTTTTACGTGTCGATACATGCAAGTACCAGTTATGAACAGCAGTTACCGTCTTCCTCAGGAGATTGAACGCCATTTCTATGTACGAGCCACAAAAAAGTCTATCCGTTTTCAGAGCCGAAGGTAGTACCAATTTCCTCCGTTATAAAGGATTCAAACAATTATTGGACCGCAAGATATGGCAGTTTGTAGCAAGCAGATAAATTTTTTTATTTAGTTCGTGTTTTATAGTTTCTTAACAAACTTATAAAATTAATAAATGTTAATATTAAGCTAACCGTTAGAACGTGGCTTTATTAAACACAGTTTGATAACCAATAACCCTACAAACCCTTTTATAGAGTGACCTTTCAAAAAACACACTTTCAGCAGTACGTTTACACGCATATACGTTCTTGTTAGGTCTTCACGGGGTTTCCAAAATAATTAAAAGCTGCGTTTTCTTTTTCTTGAATTTGATTTTATAACTCTTGGAAGTTTTAAAAACTGAAACTCTTCGCTATGATTACTTAATCATAATCATTACTTTTCATATAATAAATGACATTGTACGAAAAATTACAGGCGTTAATTTGTAAAGCGTATTTTAAATTCTATCCCAACGCCCAGTTTATTACTATGAGTTTACACTGAAAATCAGTCAAACTGGGATATGATTTCTTTAATTCCCAACATTGATTTTAACCAATACTGGTCATGACCGCGGAAAGGAAAGAGAAAATAGAAATTACAACCTCAGAGCAAAAGAATGTACTTACAGCGGATTGCGTGGATCCCAGTGAAAGGAGGGCTGAAAAAAGCCACAAAAACAAAATGGCAGACTCGAAAAAAGCCCGATTAACACAATATGTCGCAGTTCAAACATTTTTCAAGGGCTTCGCAAGTTTAGTTTTTTAGAAGTACACTTTTAAAAATTTCTTTGTCCGAGGTTACTTAATGCAGTCAGCATATTAAACCTCGTATCCATATCTCAGTTGCATTGTGAAAAGAAATAATGACGTTTTGAGAGAAAGTTATTCTCTTTTTGTTCGTCGGGTATTGTTTATTTATCCACGTCAATTTGCGCTTCATTTAATGAATGGAGGAGGCAGATTTCCTGGCTCCAAGACTTTTGTCTTGGCCTAGCCTGCTTAACGAGCGCCGGTTTTTTAGGGGCAAAGGATAAAAGAATAATTACTGGCGCCTGCTAAGCAGGTTAGTCTTGGCCTATAAAATGTTACAACGAGCCGCAACAGAAGGCATGAGGGAAACGCTTTCTTCAGGCAGATTTTAAATGCTTAGTAAAAGAGAAAAACCAATTCTAAAACTTCACTTTGTACCACTTTACGGACTCCCTGGTGAGGTCGACTTATGACAAGTCTAAATAAAAAAGCAGTTGAAAAGGGAACAAATTAAGGCGGCTACTAACAACGGGCTAATGGACTATATTTTCAACAAATTATCAGGATTAAAACTCCCAAGAGAAAACAGATACTGAGAAAGAACACCAACAGATTGATCGCCATATTTGTTTATTGTTTCAAGACGTACGTTCTGAACGAAAAGAAATTTCACAAACAAATGTTTGTACATTATGTCGTCATGGATCGCCAAACGGGACTTTAAGATCCAACGACGCGACGGCAATGAGAACGTCGCTTAAAAAGTGAATTTGCGTTCTTTCAGTCTTTATCGCAATTATTCCTACCCACTTACTTTGTCAAATGTAGGCGAACCCCCCTGGAGCTGAATTCCTAGGCACCGTACACAAGTACAAAAAAAGAAATAAAATTTCGTCGCTGCTTGTTTACGTCCTCCATAAAACGCGAAATTAGGCATGTTTACGTCGTAGTCGTGCAAAAACAGGCAGGAAATGTACAAAAAAGCGTGGTGCACGTGCAAAGTTATTGTTTTGCAAATAAAACCTATTCAGTTTTTTGACGTTCCCGTTACCGTCCGCGTCGTTGGATCTTAAAGTCCCTAATGCTAAACAAAAGCGCGCACAGCTTTTACGTTCTGAAAGCCATCTGTTTGCCGTGCACGAAAGAAATTGAAAAAACTTTTTTACACCCCTTAGCAAAAGAAAAGTTACATGCAGAACTCAATGGAAAGCATTCCTGCACAAGGACGAAATTTCTAATGACGAAAAATTAAGGAACGCGTGGGAAAGCTGTTGTTTCCCAGGCAACTAGCAAGACATTAAATCACGTCACCTAGCTCCAACCCAGTCCCCATTCTTTTAAAATTTCAGTCGGCTAAAAAACCATTTCCCCCTGCAAGTCCTGTAGTACTATCCACCGGATAAATCACTATCCAGTGGAAAAGTATTACGAAAACTAACTGCGCTATCTACTGGATAGTAATTTATCCGGTGGATAGCGCTATACACCTTTCGAACAACTGGGGCCTGGGCCGAGTTGTTCAAAGCTGGGTTAAGATAACCCAGGGTTAGTGCGAGATTTGAATTCAGATTTGAAAGCTTAACTTGAAGCAGTTCAGTTTTAGTTCTTTATGTCTACAAGCTGATGATTGAAAGCTCTATATATAACAGAGAAAATTATCCGCGAAAATGCTTTTGAACACAAGAAAGAGAAACCCGGGTTAAATTTAAGCCCGGGTTAAGCGCTAATCGACCACACTTTCTATGGGTTTACCGGCGTGATAACCCACGTGGGATGCTGGGAGAACACGAGAAAAGCTTGTAAATCACGAGCGGAAGGCCAGTGATTTACAAACTTTTCGAATGTTCTCTTAACATCCCAAGTGGGTTATCACGCCGGTAAATTAAACTCATAGAAAGTGAGGTCTATTGCTTTTATAAAATAACCTTAAAGCATGTTTCAGTTTTGTATGAGTTTACCAGGACAATAACCCATAGGTTTTTAACCAATCAGAACGCGCGCACTATCTTAGCTATTTTATAAAATAATAGTAATTAATAATAATCAGATATATAATCATATATGAAGTACTTAACCCAGCGTAATAATAAGTGATCAAACAAATTTCAGCTGGGAGCATTAACCATAATATTTTTGGGGATGATTTTTGCAGACATAGCCGTAAAGTTGGTCCAAGCAGTTTCAGTCTATGTCCATCCTTGCTATTCGTTGAAACAGACAACAGGAAACAGCTTCAATGTCTAAATCTAAGACTGTTATTTTTGGAATTGAAATAATGCGAAAAAAGGTTTTAGCTTGTTAAAAAGATAGCGAGTAGGGAGACATAGCGTAGCCCTTTTAAATTGTAAACGCCAGTAAAACATGAAAATAAACTTGTTCATGGCAAGAAAAGCACTTTATATATACTGGCGACTGTCCAGACTAAATGGAGCCAAAAAACATAGTATATGACATAACGAGGTAGCATCGTTCCTTCACTTCCTTTCACACCTAGGCGAAGTTATGGTGAATGATTTCTCATTGTTACTTTTCATCTGTGGATCGATGTGGACAGACTCCTACGGCGCCATTCAAATAGAACCTCTTTGGTGGCAGAACGTCTGCGCAGTATTTCTGAGGATTTTACAAAAAGAAATAGTGAAATTTTAAAGGATATTTTGCTATTCACTCCACTGTAGTGAAACTGGAGTCTATTGACAAAAGAGTAGAGAGAACAAAACAAAAATCTAGAGGCGCTAATAATGAACAGTGGTAACTCAAACAATTATTGACTTGTCACATCACAAAATAACAAAAACTAGGTTTCACAAATACCGCTGTTTAAAAGTTATCCAACGCTATTTTTTTCCTTTGATGGATCATTTTAAACTCTCACCTTTTATTTAAATTGACGAAAACTTATTATATTTTGTCCACAACCGCCTTAAAAGGGCGCCAAAAAATAATCAACGTTAATTTTTACACCGGTTCTGCGTAAGATAAAACGGCTAAAAAAAAGTCAAAAACAAATGTTACCATGGGAAGTTTCTGCTAAAAAGCGTATTTGGAATATAATAACACCGAAGGATTTCTGTTTACAAAATATAAGAAGAGCCAGAACTAATTTGCATGTCTCCAAAAAGTAAAATTAATTGCAGTGGAAATGAGCTTGTGTTCAATATTGTTACAATTAAATGACTGTTGAAACAGGTGCATTCTGACATTTCTGAGTGCTGCTAATACTTCTCTTACCCTTAGAGTTTACCAAGAAGTAGATTTACATATAGAAACTTATGCATGCCCGTATACAGCCGATTTTCAGTTGTCTTGTGAAGGGGAACTTTCACCGTCAACGGTTAACTAGCTTAATCACATTACGGTTATCAGCAGAAACCTTAAAAAATGTTCAGTTTAAAGTTAAACCTCCATTGCTAAAAAACGTGTTTGAGGTCTTCGGAATCTTAAGATCATTACTTTATGAATAATCAGAATAAAAAGCGATACTACGATCCATTAGCAGTAGTCTTAACAAGCGATCTTGGCAACTTTCAAATAACAAATTAAGGCTAGAATGGGCAAAAAAAATGTTTTAAAGAACAACGGTTAAAATTTCTCATTTTTGCGCCAAACGACCTAAGCTTTTGGCTGTTTCAGGACAAAAAGCAAACCACGCTGACACCCCATCACTGGAAGCTATGTGTTTCGCTCATCGCGTTTTGTTTTTGATTTGACACGTAAACAGAGTTTCCTTTCTTCATTCTTACTGCGAGTCTGAATTTCAATTGAATCAATTATACTTCCATGCTAATGGATCTTAAGGGTTAATTGGTGAAACTATTAGCTGGCTTGAACACAAAAAGCGGTAAGATTTAAATAAAAGTCGTTTATTGTTTTCATTTTGACGTCGTAACCACTAAAGAACACGAATATATTCAAGCTCAGTGTCACCATGGCCATGACTTGGCAGCGAAATCTAGCTTCAGCAAACACCACGACTGTATCAAACGAAAACTGTTTCGTATCTAGCTCTCACATAACAAATGCTTTTCTTAGTTTTCAAGACATGCGCATGAAGGAAGAAAATTGCGACATCTTCATCTGTATCCACGGGCAACGTTTCCCAGCGCATCGAGTTGTTTTGGCGGGAACATGTAAGTTTTTCCGTGAAAAGCTTGTAGCCAAGCAAGTCGACGAAGAAGAAAAGCCTCCACATTTTAAAGAGCTGGAAATTCCAGAGCAGTTTGAGAAACAAATCGTTCACAGTGTGTTAGATTTTTTGTACACGGGAAAACTGGTTTTGAATTTTCTTCAAATGAACGATATGCTACGACTTCTTTGCTACCTTCAGGTAAAGTATTTTTTAATAACTTCAGGGCCTTGCTTTGCGTTAATCAGAATTGGCTGACCAGGCGAGTCCAGGGGTAAAAAGAATTTCACTATTTATAAGGATTAGCGAGCCATATCAGTTTTTTCCTAGATAGTATGCACGGCAGTAAAAGGTTTTAAGCGAAAACTCTCGAGAAAGGCCTATTATATTTTCAAAATGAGGAAAGCGCACTATATCACAAAATTTTACAGTAGTCCCTTCTATCTTTTAGATTGAAACACCATAAAACAACAATACAAGACTAAAAGAGAGAGTACGTCTTCACATTACTTCAAAAAAGGACGTTTAATTGGATACTTTTCTTCATTCACTTTTTCACTGAGCTATTAATCTTTAATGAGTGTGCTTTAATCGTCGGCAAGTTATTGTCACGTTTCTTTGATTTTATTATATGGCAACAATAGTACGCGTGCTCTGATTGGCTCTTTTATTGTAATGACCAGGCATTGTTAGCTAGGTGTTCAAGGCATAAACAATTTGCGTTTAACTTGATAATGGACATCCTTATGGAGATCCATGTTACGGCCAATTGGCAGCTGTCAAAAGGGTTATTGCTGACCAGTGTCAGCTGACTGTAACGCGGGCTCAAGTCGTCAACTCATTGAGATGACGTATTTTTTTGTAATATAACGGGGGGCTCCTCTGGATCCGCCAATGCACTGTACCTTAATACGACAGAACTCTGATCACAAATGAGCGACAAAATGCGAGAAATACGTTAAGGAATATTTCAAGTAAAGACAAACTTCCACCCTCAGCTTACTACTCAGCTTTCCAGGCTGGGCAACCTGCTCAATCGAGATTATTTTCCTTGATTTTGATTGGTTAGTATTGGCATGGTGATGATCAATCAGAATCAATGTAATATTTATTGACAATACAACATGGGCTGTACCTACCGCTTATTTTAGCATTTAGAGCGAAAATTTTCTCTGTTAGGTCGTCGAATCGTGTTAACTTCAACCTTCATTCCCGACTGTAGATCGACGAAGCTATTCTTGCTTGCGAACGTTTTAGCATTGAACACCTAAGAGCAAACAACTGCATCAAATTTGTAGAATTATCGGAAGACCTTGACCTTGGACAACTGAAACAAAAAACAATGGAATACATAGAATGGAACTTCACTCAAGTTGCCAAAGAAAATGACTTTGTCCATTTAACAACCGATCAGTTAATTTCTCTGCTGAGGAGCAATAATCTGAGAGTCAAGCGGGAAGACAGAGTGTATGAAGCTGTGTGGAAATGGTACAAATATGCTCCGGAGATGCGGTAAGACAATGCTTTGACCAGGAGCCCATAACGTGGAGTGAGTAAGCAATATTCATGTACTAGCGTCACGACGTTTTCACCGATCAGTTTATTTTTAGAACGAATTTGAAACGTATTTAGAATATCTTTCAAGTATCACATTTTCATGGGCAAAAGTGCTCGAAAATGAATCTTAACCCTGTAAGCCCTAAGAGTGATCAGCATCAAATTTCTCCTTGTAATATCAATGCTTTGTAAAACACAGTGGTCATGAGAATTAAGGACATGATCACACAAGATGAATTTGCTTGATATTTTATCAACTTCTCCCCACTACTTCTGTAGGAAATGAATAGGGGCAACAAATGAGAATTCAAATTTTGATCTTAGGGTTTAAAGGGTTAAAATAAACCAGTCCGTGAAAACGCCGTGACATAAGCCTATCATGGGAGTTTCTCCGGCTCTGGGTCACGGACTCTGCTCTTACACAAATTTTTTTTTTTATTGTTAACGCTTGCGATTGCTTTAATGATACTGCATTGCATTGCACTAACATTACATCGGTTTTTGATTTACTGGAGAGTCTTACTACACTTTTTCAAAACAAATTTTTTTCATTGTTAACCCTTGCGATTGCTTCGATGATATTGCATTGCATTGCACTAGCATTAATTCGGTTTTTGACTTACTGGAGAGTCTCGCTACACTTTTTCAACCTGCAGATTTTAAAAACTCAAAATACAAACGATCGCTACTTATTTTTGACGACACACAATTGAATTTCTTTTACCCACAGTTCACATTTTTCATTTTTATTTACTGCGTAGTATGGTATACTTAGGATTGTTTTATTGCTTTACGTAGATTAAAATGACCTCCAGGTGGCGAGTCACCTTGTAAAATGCAACTTATTTACCTGATAAAGTCTTTCTTTGTTTTTTTTTTCTCCTTTGTTTAACCTTTTGGCATCCTCATCATCGTCATCATTAGTGTCAACTTCAACGTCACCTTCATCACTATCATCAATATCATCGTCATCATCACCATCGTCATTTTATCGTCGTCATCGGTATTATAATCATCATCACCTTCACCATCATTATGACGGTACGCATCATCATCGTCATCATCATCAGCATCATCGTCATCATCATCATCATCGTCGTCATCATCATCAGTATCATCATCGTCGTCGTCAGTATCATCAATATCATCATCATCGTCACCATGATCATCAGCATCATCAGCATCATCGTCATCATCATGGTCATCATCATCATCATCATCATCATCATCATCATCAATCATCATCGTCATTTCATCGTCGTCATCAGTATCATTATCACAATCGTTACCATCATGATCATCATAGTCATCATTATCATTATCATCATCATTGTCATCTTCACTATAATTACCTTCCCCCCAATTCTGTTTTCTGTTGGGCGCGCAAATCAGACAACTCAGTTACTTTATCTCATTATCACCAGTAACCAAGATTTGGTCTCGGTTATGAAAACCGTGCGGTTTCGCCAAATGACCACAAAATTTCTCCGTACTCGAGTGATACCTGAGCTAGTAGAAGGAGAGGAGAAGTGTCGCCAAGAAGTAGAAGACGCGTTGACTGCGAGACGCTTTTCACGAGAGGACAAAGACTTTGGAACGCCAAGAAACTCAGGCAACATGGTGTACATTTTCAGCTCGAAAACAAGCAAGTTTGACTTGTTTGACAAGGTTCATAACGCATGCGTACCCTGTCCAGAGATAACGTGTTCCGATGGAATCAAGGACCTCAATAATTACCGCCGTGCAGTTGTGGTACAGGATGAATTATACGTTGTTTCCAAGAGGGAAGTGATCAGGTTTAATCACGTGACGAGAAAATGGACTTGGGTTGGAGATGGTAAGACATGCATGTGTTACTAACTGTATCAAAGGTTCATTTCGTAGAGCGCAGAATTTCTGGGTAACTGCCCACCTACCCCTCCCCTGAGTCAACATTAACACTTACTTCTCACTTGGGGCAAAATTGTGACTTAGGGGAGGGGTAGGTGGGCAGCTTCCCAGAAACCTCAGTTGAACCCTTTTAGGATCGAATAAACATGAAACAAACGTCAAAGCAGTGTTTAAAGCACTCATTTGACTACTTTTCTCACGGAAATATAAGCTCCGGAGCGTATGGATTGAGCAAAAGTATTTAGATATGTAATGTCAACTCCTTGGAACGCGCACAAAGTGTCCGTCTAAGTGTGATGCCCTTCTTTTAGGGAGTCAAAGAAAGAAAGCATGGGCAGGGACTAATTCTAGCTGTCCGTTTTACCGAGGTGTCAGTCTCATAGAAATGCTCGTTAAGAGAGAGTCGTCTGTAAAACGATCGAAATATTAGTTAAACGCATCGTTTTCCGGCCTTACTGGTATTTCGACTGGTTTGCGAGACTCCTCTGGTGGTTAACAATACATCGATAAATTCATGAAAAAGTTTACTGCAGGCGACTCTGTCTTAACGGACACCTCTATAAAAAGGACACTTACAGTTGGTCACTGCCTTTCTTTACTCCCTTCATTTGACTCTCCATAAGATGAAAAAAAAAAACACTCTTAGACGGACATTTCTTGCTGCCCGTCACAAAGATGTCCGTCTTCGAGAAACTTGACCGTATTTCATGTATTATATACTACTACATGAGAAATTTATGCAATCTGATTGGCTTAGAGCAGTGGTATTTCAGCTTAATTTGAAATACCTACATGTGAAAATTACAAACCTTTTGCAGGTATTAGTATAAACAAATAATAGCATGATTGGTAGTGATATTTGGCATAAATACAACTCGTGGTATTTCATAATTGTCTCAAATTTTACTCGCCTAACGGCTCGTGAAATTACGTATAACAATTTCGAAATATCACTCGTGGTATTTATGCCAAATATCACTACAAATCATGCTATTACCTATACAAAGAGCTAAGTACTTGACAGTCAGAATTTAAAATGTCCTTCAGTTTTGCATATCTTGCATATTTACTCGTATTCGACCACCATGTGCCTTAAATGACCTGAATTTGGTGCACCAAGGGTGATCACTTACTAAAGAGCTGACTTTCGTTGCAGGTCGCAGTGTCCGCGAGGCTGGTGTTTGTTCGGAACGAAACAACATATACGTTACTGGAGGAAAGCCTGATGATATGGCCGCACACGTATTTGATGTGCGTTTTGGTCAGTGGTCTTCTTTACCTGAGATGATAAGGCCACGAAGGCGTCATGGTAACAGACTCTTACACGTGACTTAACAATAGAAAGCTTTAGATTGTGAGACGAGAACGACAACGAGTACAAGATTTTCTCAGTAGTGAGTAGTGCTCAGCGTGAACCAGAGTCATTTTGGCGGGAAGACTTGGTAGCCGTCATCATTCTATCACGAGTTTTAGGGAGAATGTTGTAGTGGCGGGAAAAAGTTATCAAATGTAAGACGTTTTATGATTTTGCCATCGGGAGAGGGTTTAACCTCCTTCAGTATAAATAACCGTACTAACGTTTTTGGTGAAAAAAAAAAAAGTAAAATGAAGGTTTCCGGATTGTCTTTTTTGGAGAACACGAGCACAAACTTTAAGTTAAATCTCGTACTGGTACTCGTCCTCAAATCTAAAGCTCTCTAATAATAGGCCCTTTGCAGCTAGCCATTCACGGGGTACAAAACCGCCATGCTGGAGAGCAAAAGTCGCACTGAGACAAGACAAATAAAAGGGGGATTGGTTATTTCCTTGAATGAATGAATGAGGAGTGAAGAGTACGTGGATGAGAGGACAACAGACGTGCCCTCTTACGATACATTTTAACATGTGAACAGTAAGCTCGGACGTCAGCAAACAAAGGTGCCACTGGCAGCGGCTCTCAGTCCATTTATAAGCTTACTGTACCCACCCAACCCATGATGTGAATGATGTGGTGTGTGTAGGTTGACCACAACACCGGGGTCTACGTCCCCTACTCTTTTCGAACAGTGGTGTGGGTTCTTTTACTTACCACAAGAACCAGGTAAGTGTAAGTGCTGTGAGACGGGACCTACGGTTTTTGCGTCCTTGTCCGAGAAGGCTAGAAAGTCTAACCGTTTGCAGATGGCATTGCAAAGGTAGCACTTTCTTCTCAGTTATTTAAAGACCCTTAGTGTTGGTCCGGCACGGTTCGAACCCATGATCTCCCGCTCAGCAGACCGGCGCTCTTCCAACTGAGCCAACCAAGCGGTGGTTTTTGTTTGACTTGTCCCAGTGCGACTTTTGCTCCTCTCCAGCATGGCGGTTTTGTACCACGTGAACGGCTACCTGCCAAGGGCCTATTTAAGGTGGCTCTTCAGTATCATCATGCATCATCAGTCTGGTCCCTAAATATGCAGTGTTTATTCACAACTGTACATTGCAAACCTCCTTGCTACAGTATTTTCTCGTAATATCAATTGGCAATCTCAAAGTCAAACTCCTTGGTAAAAGTGTTTATCATAATTTACCTGTAACCCACATATATAAGAACCTGCTTGATCTTGCTTGGCTAAACTAGTTCTTATATTTTTGCGTATTAAAGTGCCAAACTTCTGCCAGCAGGTTCTTAAGCCACTAGGTTCTTATTAGCGGGGGTTTACTGCATTGCTCTTAATCTATTAGGTGTCACCATTTTGAAAAATAAGATATACGTCATTGGAGGCATTAATGACGATGGACTACTGACCACTATGGAAAGCTACAATGTCAAATCTCAAAAATGGAAACAAATGCCGGGACTCCTGGCGCCTCGCTTCAGCTTTGGAGTCACAGCATGGGCAGGCAGTATCTTTGTATATGGTGGAAGGAACGATCGCCACTGCCTTAAGACAATGGAGATTTATCACCCTGATCCTGGCGACAAATGGATTTTTGCTCCCGCGCGATTACATGACGCAAGAAGCGAGTTTGGTTATGTGGTCTATGAAAACCAAATCTATTGTTTTGGTGGACGGGGTGTGTCCACGATCGAGTGTTATGATTATGTGAATGAACACTGGAGGGTTGTGGGAAGGGTCGGCGAGAACACTTATTCTATAAGTTGTGTCCTCTATCCTCCACTCAGTTTTAGTGATGCCCCTTCTTTATGCCTAGTTCCTACCAGCCAAGAGGGACAGACGGGCACTGGAGACAATGAATGAACGGATTTTCCGTCCGTCCATCTATTTTGTGAAAATGAAGAAATGCTCGTCGCAGTGAACGCAATTTATGCAATTGCGTAAAGAAGCCTGAAAAAAAAAAAAATTCAGGACTTCAACGGGGCTTGAACCCGTGACCTCGCGATACCGGTGCGATGCTCTACCAACTGCGCTATGAAGCCACTGACGTTGGGAGCAGGTCAGGTGTTTAATAACTGATCTGCATGCAACAGCGTTTCTTCAGAGTTGCTGTAACCTTTTTGAGTGTCGTTTTTAACACAGTTCGATTGGATACTTGTAATATATTTAATATTAAACGCTCAATACGGCTGACAGGTACTTTCAATAGATGAGGGTTTCTTATTACACAAAAGCAAAAGCTGCAGTCAGATAAACCCGTTTTCATTTCGCTCAAATTGTATTGAAATACAAAAAAAAAAAACGTCAAAACTTCATGCTATAAGTACATCTTGATAAAGAAGTAGAACGATATGGAAATACTGATGAAGAGTGTTCATTTGAAAGGTCACACAATAGGATTTCAAGTACAGTTCCAAATAAGGTAGAACCATCTTGTACATCACAACAAACAGTACCACAGGAACGTAATAATCAGTAGCTTTCATTTGAATGGTCACACCATAGGATTTCATCCAGACTCAAAAGTTAAAACCACCTTGTACAGCATAACAAACAGTACCACACGAACGTGCTGCTCAGTAGCTTTCATTTGAACGATCACATGACACCATGGGATTTCATAGGAAGATTCGAAAGCTAGGACTGTTCTACAAGTCTACATAATTGACTCTGAAAGGGAGGCAAGATTCAAAGGTTCAGCTTCTGAGATTGAACGGAATAATGATCGCATTCTTGTGCGCCTTCGTCGATTCTGTCACGAACTGCTGTGCGGCCGGCTGGGGAGTGCCAAAGGTCTGGACATCAAACCAGTTTCTGTGTCACGTAAAAGAAACACTGACGGTCGTACAGCTTGCAAACTTATGTGCTCGCTCTCTGGCTCGACAACGACTCTGTTATCACGGCAACAGAAGAACGATACAAACAATGGCCGTGTGAATCCCTGCACATTCGAGAAGAGCATAAACGGATGTAGTGTGGAATTCAGAAGGATCAGCAACACGGTTAAATTGTAAACGTTTGATCCATAGCTGACCGACGGCGCATAGTATGCCAGTAAATAAATGGTGTAGTTGGGTAAACGACAAACTGTATGAATAAAGGTTACTAGAACCAGTAACTTTGTGATATTTTTTCTCGCGCGAATTCGCGCCGCCTGGGAAATTTCTGTCGCCCGTCTTTGCCTGTTCCAAAGTGTATATATCACTTGAGTGTACAGAACAAACATAACCAAAACTGAACTTATACCAAAAAGAAAAATACACGCAACGTAAGCTTTTGGAGAGACCCATGTCGGCCACTTTTCATGGCAGAAGTCCGTTTGTTCATCATAACTAAACACAATCAGCGTTGGTAAATTCGCCAATAAGGCTGTAATCCAACAAAATGCGACCACTCGATTAAGCCGCGCAGTAGTAATTTCCTTTCCCTGATTCTGAATTCTAAGTGACATAAAGCGTTCAACAGCGATGGCGATAAGCAGAAACCCAGATGCTGTGGAGCAAGTCCAAAGAATTCCACTACCCGTGATAAACTTGCAAAGGTAGTCTCCAGCGACGCCAACCGGATGTCGAAACGCCGCACTAAACACATGTCGAGGTAGGATAAACAGACCGATTACAAAATCCGAGATTGCCAGGTGAAATATCAGGTTGTTCATTGGTATTTTCAGGGACTTGCTCCGATAAATGGCTACACAGACGATGACGTTGAACGAAAGACAGATTATCTCCAGGATCGAGAACAGTGTTAAGAGAGTGATGTCCTCGCCACTAGCCATGAGGGCTTATCTTTGATCTTGGTAGAAAACTGGTGTTTGAATTGTAGAAAAATCTGTGGCAAATAAAAAGATCCTAGAATTTTAATTGAACGGTCTAGATGAAAACGAGATATATATATCACCCGCACAACAATAAATACTGAACCTTTTTTGCGCAAGCAATATCTAACAGAAAAAAAAGGTTTACGCAAGAATAAGACTATCAACAATTATGCATTAAAGAGAAATTTTATACATGTTGGTAGAGCCTGTTGCTGTTTTCAAAACCACGCCTATTTTGAGTTGTTCAGTAGTCATTCTGACAATTTTTAAAATTAATTATTAAGATGTTAGAGATCTTAACGCAACCGGTTTTGCCAAATAACGCTTAAAACTAAATTCAGCCGAAGCCTCTTTTACTAGTAGTCGTTAGAATTTTCACCTGCAAGCAACGAAGTTGTCAAAAATACAAACAAACATGGATAGCCAACCAGTCAACCTAGACACACGGCTATGGTATAAAAACATATTTCTTTGATTCGTTGCACCGTGTTTAAATTGTTCAGCTTCACTCAGCTTTTCAAACCTATAAAGAGGGTCGTACAGGAGTACTTTCGTGATACGTGATTATTGTTTTTCGTGAATCGTGAATTCAGTGGTGGTGTTCCGTGACCAAATGGTTGTCTGTGCCCAGAGAAAAGCTCGAATTAATAATCGATATTAGTGATTTTATTTCTTATTTCTCCCTGATTCTTAGTTTCGAGAACTCCGGAAGAAAAATAAAGAAAGTGAAAGCATTAAATGAAATTGATGAATTTTTGTAAGTTGCTATTTGTAGTCTTGCTTTTTCTTTTCGCCACTTTCGAGATGTTTTTTAGGAACTCTTTTACCACTTTTCTTTTTGCGTAAGCACAACATAAAAAACGGTACTTTACATGTTGATTATGTGACTCGAAACTGAAATGAAAGTTTGATGTCTGTGATTCGTGATTAGTTACTTTTTTGGTCCGTCAACCGTGCCAGAGAGCCCCTGTACGACCGTCCATAACTGACAACACAACACCATGGCCTGTCAGGAATCATGCCGACGGTTAACATTAACTCCTTTCCTAAAACTGAGGTCAACAACAACATTCAACAAAATTCCCAAACTTCATTTTGCAAAATACCGACAAACTGTTAATACCATGTGAAAGTTAACTGCCAAAGAGGTCAGGTTTGAATGATCACACCGACCGCAGGCCGGTTTCATTTATAGGGATCAAGCTCAAGACTACATTATTTATTACTATAAGTAGATCGAAAGGGCTTAAGCAAAATCGCCAGTTTTGATGATAACACTTGATAAATGCCGATGAGGAGGAGCATATAGTACTGTCATGGCCACATTGACGGATCTCGTCCACAGACTCAGTAATCAAAAGTAGGGGGAGTTTGATCGTCCGGGTGAACGTAGTCCTGAATAGGACTGTTGTTGTTGACAGTGACTGACGTTTCGACAACCTGTGCGGTAGTCATCTTCAGAGTCAACGTGAGTTGCATCACGTCAGTTGATAATATTATACTCCGGTTATTGATCTGATTGGTCAATTATGTCGCGATTTTATTGGTCGTCTGCCAGTTACGCCGTGATGCTATTGGTTATGAATCCGTCTATTGTCACAGTTAACCTGTCGTCTATTGTTAGTCACATTGCCATTCTCTCGTAATTAGTTTTGCTTGATCTCGTCAGTAATTAAGTCTCAGTAATGCTAGAACCAATTTGCAAGTGAAACATCCCCGATGATGATGATTTGTTTCTGACAACTGGTAGTTCAAAAACAGAGATGGTTTATAGAGACTGGTAGAGCATGAAGATCCACACTCAAAAGTCAAACGAAATACTAACAGTTGTTTGGAGTGAAACGGCATCAAAATGAGGAAAACGAAATGATAGTTAAACCATTAAACTTTGACAGGCATGGTGGAAATGGACCTGAACAAACACGAGATTGCCTTCCTGCGCTGTTAATTTTGTTCAAAACTGTTTCATAGGAAATGGCCCCGCTGGAACTACTAAACTGATACTGAAAAAAAGGGATAATTGTCTTCAGTGAGATTAGCAAGAATACATTTTTATGGAATCGAAGATGACAGTTGTATCCATAGTATTTGCTTAGTTTATCTGAAAAAAACCTTATTTCGCAGATCGTATTTGTTTTTTTATTCGACAGCTGTCTTCAATTGGTTCATGAAAAACAAATAAAAATCGCTAACCGACAGCAATAAAAAAATTACTTTTAACTCAAGGAGAAGGTTGGTACGGATCGAAATGTCATTCTTTAAAGTTTAAATATGTCTTTTCAAGATTTAGTATTTAACTTATGGTCTAAGGAATAACATGCACAAGAAGTAGTATTTATTTGATATGGCCGCAGCTTAAACCTGCTTCCTTGCGCTTCAATGAACGAATACGTGCGCATATGGTCGGGAAATTTCTATTTTCCTTTTTTTGATCTTTTCCCACTTATTTCAATTAAGTAGGATCATTTTAAACCAAGAAATTAATTAAAAACTCGGCAGGATGTTCAAAATAACTGTGTATGCCATTAAGCTAATAGGACGCAGGTTATGAGTTCAATTTTTCTTCTTTCGATTTCGGGGTCTGTAATCGAAAAACATTTAGTAAACTTCAATTTATAACAAAGGGTCTTACGAAATACCAAGTAATTAACTTGCCTGGAGTTAAAAGCTTAAAACTTGCGTACACTTTAGTCGTTAAGAGAAAACACTATATACCTAAACGAAATATGTGTTGTTGTTGTCGTTGCGAATGTCTTGAAACGACTTTCAGTGTTGAGGAAAGAAGGTATCTCCCCGTTAAACGCGAGGAAATTCAACCATTTCTTGGAAACATATCAAAGGTAGAAGCCGGCTAAAAATTTAAAGTGTTATTTGTTCATGTATCATAGGTTCTCGATAATAGACTGAATCGCCTGAAGCCGGCTTTTAAGCGAAATGAACCGAAAGGTGAACTGTATATTTAAGGCTTTTCCTTTAAATCGCATACACATTGAAAGGCAAAAGTAATTATGATAGTATTGTTAACCGTACAGTTTATCATCTCCGTGGTTTAAATCCATCAATCCTGCAGCTAAACGCAGAGTCGTGAAAGCCGCCTTTTTGACTCGTTTCTTAATGCACTTTGTCTTTTGTGAAATAAATAGTTCAAAATATTGTTGTGATCTCTTATGTTTGTGATTTTGCATCAACGGGGGTTCACACTTTTTCAATGCCATTTCCAACATTTTAATCCAAATTCAGATAATATATGTTTCGTTCTTTTGTAACAGTTGCAATGTCCAGTGTTGGTAACATCTTTTCATCTAGCTTTTGGAGAAGTATTTAACTGTAACCTCTTTGGCATCGCTTGTACGTGATACCATTTATTTGTCAGTTTTTTACAGAGCGAAATTTGGACATTTCTCATGAAATTTTGCCTTTGGCCGCCTTCAGAAGGAGTGAAAAAAGCTAAAGAGAATCATTTTCTCACTTACCTGCGAATCCACACGATTATACGTCTTAACGCTGAGTCCTGTTCAGGATAAAAATGGCATCTGGGGGCACACATCATCCGATGCAATATTTTTGATAGGCAGGAATCACTCGACGTCATAAAAGCGCTTCATGTCCAAAGGGTGTCATAAAAGTCATATTTCTTGACAACCGATTAGCATCCATTCGTTCTGTTTAAAGATCTTATTGTAAAGGCTGATATGTCCATGCTTTTTTACATATAGTAAAAATATTTTTCGCGTTTTTTTAAGCGTTCAGCATTTTCAGGATCGCGTTACTTTTATTAAGTGAAATGATTGAAAAATAATGTCCACGCCTCTTTCTGTAGTTACAAACGAGAAGCCTGCTCAGTTAATAAAGTTTTCGATTTGATGCGTGATGGAATCACGTCAATTTTAAGGTATGGTAGTGAATATTTTAAATTTGCCTTTTAATGGCAATTGCTGCATTAAACAATACATAGGACCCAAAATACTCGAACGGCAAACAACAGACTCAAATTTCATGTTCGTCATGTTATATTAAACAAAAAAAACTACCAACTATAAGGTACACCAGTAGTGTTGCTGTTTTCTGTCAGGATCTAAAGGGCCCTAGAAAAACGTTCCCGGCAAACAGAAAACGTTAGATTCAAGTAGACAATATCTGAAATTATGAAACCAGCATATACTGAAAAAATGTCGAAAATAATTCTAGGGTTAATAGTGACATGGATATACTTATATGTTTGTGAAAATATAAGGAAAATAATCGACAAGCAAAGGAAAAAATTCCCCTAAATCTTTCTAACATACAAACAAGAGAAACGTGGCAGCACCCGCCCGTTGCCTGGAGCCGCAACGCATTGCTGAGACTGTACCGGTGGTGAATGGGTTAAACGATTATCTTAGCATTAATTTTTTTTTATTAAGAAAAGGCACGTATTGAATAATTAAAGATATTTGTGTCAGCGTATATCATCAAATAATTACTAGTCACGTTTGTCATGTACACGGATCAATGTTTGATAGTAAATCTCTTGGACTCATTTTCACTTCGAAACAACTTCACGAGTCAAACGCTGAGAAAGTCGGGGAAATCTAGAGTCGTTTCAGAGTTCTCGGCAATCAGTCCAGCTTGCTTTACCACGTTGAAATTTTTGCGTGATAGATTTCACCCCTATGGATTACGTGTGTATTTACAAATCATCAACAAACTATCAAGGGCGATCACTTTTATGGCTTCCTGTGCGCTACATCCGTACATGCTTAGACGTGTTTTTTTCTTCGGCTTACAGTTAATCGAAAAATATTTATATTTGTTCATTACGTAGCTTGATTCATCACTATCTAAGACTTTTCTACTCACACTGGGTCCACTTAGAATCATCCTCAGAATGATTTTCAAACAGGAGACGACTCAATACGATGTCACAAAAAATTAAATTTGTGAAATTATGGCACTGACAGAGATATTCACAAAGAGCAAGAAGAAAACTGTCTATTTGCTAACAATCAGCTTGTTAGAGCAAATTGGCTGTGAGATACACGCAACGTTATGCTCTAATAACTCCATATAAATCCTTCTTACTCTGGATCGCAAAGGGTAAGATTCAAGCCAGGTGCACTTTTTGCACCTAAGGAGGTGGTTATAAAAAAACAGTATTTCATTTTCCTAGGTTTGCGTGTTTTAAAATGGCGAGACAAAAACGACAGTTTATTCAAGCCAGTATTCTTATTAAGTCGTCTGCGTTGGATATATCGCAGCGCCAATTTGCTCGAACCAGCTGATTTTTGTACATGGACAGTTTTCATCTTGTTCTTTCTGATTATTTCATTCAAATCCAATAAATTCTAAAATTCAGTTTTTGTGACGTCATCACTTCTTAGCCATGTCGTCCTCAGTTGACAGCACACTCAATTTACAGCTGCAACTGACGATGTACTGTCATCAGCGCTGACCCAGGAAACTGAAGATTCTGATAAAGAGCTAGTTAAGTTTTGACATTCCCAGCGTACAAAGAAAGTATTATACAACTATCCCCCGAAGGAGAGGTGAGACGCGAAGCGTCGAGGTATATATCTAGCGCTGTTCGCCAACCCTGAGGGATATAGTTGTTTTAGTATTTACCAAGTCAGTCGGATACAAATGAAAAAAGGAACTTTTTGTAAATTAAAAACCTCACTTGGTAGGAACTTTATTTACAATTTACAAACATTTCAGGGATTTTGTCAAGTGCATTGTTAAGATTTTGTTGTAAATTGGGGGCTAGTAAATGCTAGCCACAGCTTGCTTTCCACTCAGGAATCAGACTGAAATTCTGTCCAAAATTTTCCATGCAGTTTCCTGTTAAGTCAAGCACTCGTGTAGTGTAAAGCGAAACAATTCTCAAGATTTGAACTTTCTTCTGAAATCAACTAGCAACTAAAATAACCAGCGTTTCCGCCGAAAACTACTGACAGGCTCGGATGGCGAAACATTAAGACTTAACACTCCTTTTTCGAAAAACGTTCAGAATATTTACGTGATATCTAAGTATTTGCCAACCCTTCTTAGTCCTCAGCAAAGCAAAAAATCCAGAGAAAAAAAACTTGCAAAAAGGATATATAAGAGGCTGAAGACTCACAGTTGGTTCTGAATACAACGAAATTACTGTACTCGGTGGTTCTAACTTTTGAATCTGAGGATAAAATCCTATGGTGTGACCATTCAAATGAAAGCTACTGAGCAGTACTTTCCTGTGGTACTGTTTATTATGCTGTACAAGGTGGTTCTAACTTTTGAATCTGAGGATGAAATCCTATAGTGTGACCATTCACATGAAAGCTACTGAGCAGTACTTTCCTGTGGTACTGTTCATTACCCTTTCAGAGTCAATTATGTAGACTTGTAGAACGATCCTAGCTTTCGAATCTTCCAATCAAATCCCATGGTGTTATGTGATCGTTCAAATGAAAGCTACTGAGCAGTACGTTCCTGTGGTACTGTTTATTATCCTGTACAAGGTGGTTCTAACTTTTGAATCTGAGGATGAAATCCTATGGTGTGACAGCTCCAATGAAAGCTACTGAGCAGTACTTTCGTGTGATCATCAAATAACACATCTTTGGCATTATTTTTCTATGATACCAGTTGTAATTAAATCGTTTACGAAACGAAACTTTAATATTTCTCGATTTTTGACTTGCAGCGCGGTTGATTTTAGCCTGAAACAGACAACAATTCGTGACTCCACCGGTGGTTTCCCCGCGAAAAGATGTTTGAGGAACGAGCGCAGAAATTCAGTACTGATGGCGTGTTGCTACTCAGATCTGGGTAGTGCGTCTGATTGGTCGTACCACGAGGGAAATTGGTTTCAAACAAACCGTCACCAGTATGGAATTTCTGCCGTCGTTCAACGGGCATCATTAGGTAGCTTACGCAAGGACGACGGCGACGGCAACGAGAACGGCAAAAAGCAATAGGTTTAGAAGTTTGCACGTGCATCACGCTTTTTTTGTACATTTCTCTGCCGTCGTTGCACGACTACAACGTGAAACTGGTTAATTTCACGTTTTGTTGAGGACGGGAACAACTTTCTTTTTCTTTTCCTGAACTTTGATGCAGTCCTTTAGAATTCAACTCCAAAAAAATTTGCCATCATTTGACGAATTAAACGAGATGGAATAAGGGCGATAAAGTTTGAGGCAGCGCAAACTCACTTTTTAAGTGACGTTTTCGTAGCCGTCGCCGTCGTCGTTGCATAAACACCCTATTTCGAGGAGAAACCAGTGGCGGCGTCGGCTGTTTTAGCAGGCTATGTTGGGTTTAAAAAGTTTTCGATGTGGTACAATACGGAGCAGCAGATAGTTTCATGGTCTTAATCCTTCAAACTCTACCATCAAAATTCAAAGTCTAATTGTTGTTCTTATAGACATCCTTTAGAGGTTGTTAGGGAGAAGTTGTTAAAGTAAAAACCAGATTCAAGCTTTGTGATCATGTCTCTAATTCTCATCACCAGCTTTGTTTTATAAAGCATCGATACCATAAGGAGAACTTTGATGATGATCGAATGGTTAATGCCGCGTCCCAACGTAAGACAGGGGTGAAGTGTTTTCCATTTCTAACTGCGGCACCACTTGGTTTTCCACCCTTTTGCAAGGAATAAGCTTCCAAAACTCTACTCTAAAGGAGCGATTCATGTACCCGTATATGAAGGGATTACATGCTGAGTTGAGCCCCACGAGAAACGTGACAGCAAGGGTCCCTTGAAACGAAATCATCACAAGGTTTCCACGGCACAGAAATGCGATAGTGTAGGCGGGAATCCAACAAATTGCAAACGTGGAAACTAAGAGGAAGAGCGTTTTTGTCACTCGTATTTCTTCTATATTCGCTCCGCTTATAAGTTTACTGTGAGATGATCTTTGCAGTGAACATACAACCTGAAGGTTGTGTAGGCGTACGGCTCGCAACACTTTGAAGTAACATCCGGCTATTGTAACCATGCAAGGGAAGAGGATCAGCCCAGCGTCCATCATGAGAAAGGTTCTTGTCATAGTTGGCGTGTGGAATTTCAAAACGCAGGCGGCGTAGCCAGGATAAAAAGAAAACTCGGCCCAGCCTATTATCACCGGGAAAGAGACTGTCAGCGCTAAGAAACACCAAGATGCTGACAACAAGGCGATAGAGCGTCGTTTGGTAAAAATTTTCAAATAAAGTGATGGTTTGACAACTCGGCAGTATCGGTTCAAGGCCATAAACGCCATGGTTATTAAGGAAACGAGGGTGAGAAAGTACGTGAAGAATCCCTGAATGACACAACCTACTGTTCCGTAATTCCAGCGACCAGAAATAAGAGCTCCGACAGTCATTGGCGCGGTGATGCATGAGCGAGCCAAGTCCGCAACAGCTAAGGCCGTTACCCATAAATTAGTCGTCGTTCGTAGGTTAGGATTTCTTGCTGTTGCGAGACAAATGAAAACATTGCCCGCAACTGCTGTAATGGCAATTACGAGAAGAGAGGTGGACTCGAACGCTACCCAATTGGAGCTTCGCGGCGGTAAATCCATGCCAAAAACCAACGCGACTACATTTAAGTTAGTCTCTCACACCAGTTCGAAGCTGAGTCCTCTTTTACTCTGATACAAGACGATTAATCTTGGGTAGTTGTCAGTTCAATGTTCACAGCTGCTTGAAGCTATCTTTGTATTCAATTTACATTTACGCCGAGGACATTTTATGCTCTAGACACAGCTGATAAACTTGCTCTTTTCTTCCAACATAGAGAGGGGATGTTCCTTATTCATAGAAAGTACGTATCGAATGGTAAAATTGTGATATCGGTACAATAATAACTGGATACGTGAGGTCCTGGTTTGCTTAACACTTGGGCATTCATTCCATATTCAAACATGAAATTCTACCCAAATATATACCTGCTGTTTAATGGATCTGACGTTTCGTAGAAATTCGACAATCGGTGGAGCCGTAGCAAGACAGAATTCTCAAAACTGGAACTTTGAAAATAAATCTCAAAGTTAAACTGGATACGAATGGAATCAATTCCTAACAAATAAACAGCGTTTCAGCGGGAAACAGACAATTAGAAATTTCGCGTACTAAAGGGACTTCTCATTTTGCCTTAAGCGTTGTAAATATTTACTGAGAGAATCCCAAAAGTAAGTTTCTTCAATAAGTGACCCATGGTAGTGTCACTTTTTTGTCAAATAAAGCTTCCTTTAAAATTAATTAGTTTGAATTTGGTAACCATCTTCGTTAATTACCTAAACTTTTTGAGAAGATACAAGAGCTTATAAACCCTGGCAAGAAAGAAATTCGCACTTTGAAACTCGCTATCTTCGTCTTATTTAAACATATTAGAAGAGCATTTTTCCATTTAGAAGCGGTATTAGTGAGAATAATGTTATTCATACTCATGGTTTATATTTCTCAATTCCTTATTGGAAAATTAAGATCATTTGACAGGTAATATTAAAACTGTCAAACACGACTGAGTACAAACTCAGGAATTACATAGCAAATTGCCAAGATGGAAACGACGTTGACAGTGTCAGACAACTTTTCCTAGTATACATTGTAATTTCCGTTTAATTTTGACGGCACATTTTGTTACAACGACTCAGAGCTATTACTTAAGTTTAAGTTTAAGGCCGTAAAAGAATATTTAACTCAAAGTTTTATAGATATTTATAACTCAGCTCTGAAAAGACTGTTCACAGTCCCCTATTTTTTCGTAAGATCGTCAAGATCGAGCGCCTTACTGGTAGGGGCGGCCATCTTGGTTTGATATGTACTTACGGGGCGGGCGTCGGGGTTTAAACCGTTCCCGGCGCCCTAAGTAGATTTGACACTCATCCAAGACGATCTTGAGGAAAAATAGGGGACTGTGAACAGTCTAGCGCCGAATGTATCTAGCAGCCACCATAGGCCACCCAAGAATACTTCGTTACCAAGAGAGACTGTCCAATTCCCCCTTCCCCATGTTTTGCATAATTCTCCGGAAATTAAATCCTCAAATCTTATTTTACGGTAAACGATCTTTCCCAAACTTACCATAATATTTCTTTACGTGCTGGTTTGGCTTCGCATTCTGGACAAAGTTTAAAGAACCAAATACCTCAGAAAAACTTTTTCTGAAATAATCCTGCAATCCGTCACTGTGTTAGCAAATTTTGATTAGCTCAGTGGCACCTTTAAAGTACTCTACACAGATGTAACATTATAACTTCAGTTCACCTAGGTTTTTTGTCACTTACAGAATTTTAACGCCAGACACCACCACTGACGACACTAGTGGTTCGGGTGACCAACGTACGAACATTTCTACAACAGTTTTCCAAAGGCTTGACGATTAAAAGACAAGGACGGAGGAACAAAGCAAGCTCTACCTATTTCTGTGCGTACAAAATTGGTTGATCCACCCTCGGGAATTGTTTTAAAATGTGTTAAAACGGTTCTGTTTAGAAACTTGGTGTGTTTTCAGAAATAAATTGTCGGAATATAACAGAGTTTTAAAATAAACGTTCAACGAAGAGATTAATACGAATTACTGAATATGTTAAATTTTTAAAAACGGAGTTTTCAACTCGTTTTCATAAACAGGAAACGCTTAAATTATAAATATATATATTTTTCATGTATATTGGCTTTAAATATGAGACTATATATTTTAAAAAGGACTTTCAAAATCTTGGGCAGAAAAATTTTTTTCGGAATTTTCAATAACTTTAAAAGTTTCGAGAGCTAACGAGTACCCTTGTTAAACGTCACATAGACGAGATGCCCTTGAAACGTCGATACATTTAATACAGAAGACCTGTAAAAAAGATTTTCATATTATATAACTACCTCGAACTGTTTCAACGTCTCGCTGTTGTGATACTTTTTTGTACCGTAACTCTTTATGATTGGCTAAAAGCTTCTCGGTCACTTTTTTCTCGACCAATCAGAAGACAAAACGCATTGACACCTGCTCTCATGCGATTTCCCGCGCTTGGCACCCGCAAAATGTATTTGCATCCCTTTCTGATCGCTTCATTGAATTTTCTGAGTCTTTGTAAATCTGATACCAATGAATACGACTGTACTTCATAACTGCTTAATTTTCAGAGTAAGTTGTCGTCGAGAAAGCATCCTTCCAGAATGCAAAATGATCGGAAGAAGTTTTAATTAAATATGTTTCATTGGCTTCGCCAGTTGTTAGTAGGGGAACCGAAATAGTGTAATAAAGCCAGTTACAGTAAAAACCAGCATATAAGAACTCCCAATTTTTGTTTGGCAACCGACTGGAATGGTTCTTTTGGCTCTTATTGGCCAAATTCCAGCCGGAAGTTCACTACTTTAGAAACCAGAAAGCAACTGGGCAGCATGGATTTTCTGGGATTGTTCTAGGGACTCGATGGTCAGTTATTGGCCAATTTTTCTCTGTCTCAACAAACAATCCCACAAGTCTTTGCGAAAGTAAACTCGTCCCAGTTTCCTTCTCGGTTCCTAAGTGGCGAATATGCGAGAGTTTTTATGTACCATGAGCACTTAAATCAAAATTACTGCATTTCATATCAAATTACAGTCATGACGAAAAAAAAAGTCAGTAACAAAGACTTTTATGGCAAAGTTCAGTTCCTACTTACGTCCAAACAACGATGCAAAGAAACCCTTCTTCCACTTTGACTCTGCTTCTGTTTTATTATCGTTACGTGACGAAGGTGAACCCATATGGCTGTCACCATGGTCAGTTTCTTTCCGAAGAGCTTGAGCTTTCTTCATCAGTTCATTTTCAGCCTTCTTCATCTCCTCAAGCTGCCTCTTTTGCATCTCAACATGTTCGCGTCGTCTCCTTTCAGCTTGCTCCCGAAATTCCTCCTCTTGCTTGAAGGTTTTCTCCAGCAAAAGTTTCCCACTGTCCGCCGCTCCCTTAGAGCGCTCATCCTTTCGGCTTTTCTGTTCCAGGAGCTCGGATTCATTCACCGCTGCCTGAGCTTCGCTTCGTTCTTGCCGCTTTCGCTGCAGCTAAAAGAAATAATTGCAATTTGAGTTCGACTATTCAACTGAAACCTCTTCCTGTGCTAGAAAGTGCTTCTAACTTTTGAGTCTGTGGATGGAATCCTATGGTGTGACCATTCAAAAGAAAGCTACTGAGTAGTACTTTCCTGTGGTACTGTTTATTATGCCATACAAGGTGGTTCTAACTTTTGAGTCTGTGGATAAAATCCTATGGTATGACCATTCAAATGAAAGCTACTGAGCAGTACTTTCCTGTGGTACTCTTTATTATGCTGTACAAGGTGGTTCTAACTTTTGTGTCTGCGAATAAAATCCCATGGTGTGACCATTCAAATGAAAGCTACTACGTAGTATTATCCTGTGGTGTGGGGTGGTCTGGTGTACTGTACAAGGTGGTTCTAACTTTTGAATTTGTGTAATCATTCAAATAAAAGCTGATAACCAGTACTCTCCAGTGGAACAGTTCATTACGCTGTACGAGGTAGCTCTAACTTTTGAATCTTTCTACGCCCCCTCCCCTCCCGCGAATTTATGACCAGTCCCTTACCTCCAGAAGTTTTTTCATTTCCATTTCCTGGTGTTTTTTATTCTCCTCTCTTAGCCTCTCCTCCTCCTCTTGTTTACGCATGACCAGTTCCCGTTTGGCCTCCTCCTGTTCTTTCTTCTCTTTGTCTTGTAACAACACCTTCCTCTTTGCTTCTTCTCGTTCTTGTTCCAGCTCTTTCCTCCTCTGCTCTTGTTCCAACCTCAGTTTCTCAGCTATTTGCATCGCTTCATTTTCCTCTTTCCGTCGTTGTTCCCTCGCACGCCGCTGTGCTTCCGCCATCTCTGCAGCCTTCTGTTCATCTTCCTTTCTCTGTTCCGCCATCCGTTTTTGTTTCGCTGTGTCTCTCTGCGCTTTCTCGTCTTCTTTCTCCTTTATCCCATCAAGGTAACGCCTCCATTCAAGTTCTTTGACTTTCTGTTCTCTTTCCCTTTTTTCTTTCTCTTTGGCTAACAACTGTTCCTCAAGCTCTAACTTTCTTCTCTCTTCCTCTTGTCGTCTCTCCTCTCTTTGTTTCCTCTTCATTTCCGCCTCCTCTCTTTTCCTCGCCTCTTCTCTTGCCAGTTCGTTCTGCAGTAGTTCTGAGACGACTTTCCCCTGCTTGTCCAAAAACTGCTGTCGCACTCCTGACTCGAGTAAGCGGGCTTCCTCGGCCGTTTTATCCCTCTCTTTCTCCCATTCTTTCCTTTTCTGATCTTCCACAGCTTTTCTCGTTTCAACAAACTGGTTAATTTCACTGTTTTCTTTCAGCTTTTCCTGTTGCCAAACTCTCTGTTTCTCCGCCTCAATTCTCGCTTTTTCCTCTTGCTTTCTCTTGAGATCTTGCGCATAATTCACCCACTCTGCTTCTTGCTTTTTTTGTTCCTCCTGTTTCCGTTTCTGCTCCGCCATGGCACGGTCACTTTCTTCTTCCAGGTGCTTCAGTTTTTCGCGTTCCACCTGCTGTTGTTTTTCGATTCGTCTCTGTTCTTCAGCGGCTTTTCTCGCGTCTTCCTGCAGTTGCCATTCCTGTTTCATCGTGAACAATTCTTGACTTTCCTTTTGTTTGGCATTTTCAAGTTCCTGCTTCCTCTGCATCTCCAAAGCGGCACGTTTTTCTGCCTCCTCCTTCGCTTTGCTTTTCTCTGCTTCGCGTAGTTGTTCCAGCTGTCTTTTCTTTTCCATCTCCTCTTGAAACCACTGATCCTTTAACTTTTTTTGCTCCTCTAAAAGCTTTTCTCTTTTGCTTTCCACTTGTTCCGTTCCCTCCTTTTCCCTCTGACGAGCATAAGCGATCATTTTTGCAGCCTCTTCCCATTTTTTCTGATTTTCCTTTTCTCCGCCGAAAGCTTTACACTGGCTTTCCATCTGTGACAGGACTGTTTCGGCGAGATTCCTTTGCCTTTGCATACGTTCATTATGAAGCTTATTCATGTACTCACTTGTCATGGTGCCCTCTTCGCCGTCAGTTACGTCAGTTTGTTGATCTTCGTTTCCCGCCATTTTCCTTTTCAGCCCTTAAGATAAACACAAGACAACTCCATATAAGGAATCTCACAGCTATTACCAGGCCTAAGCGAGCATTAACCCTTTTAGTCCCAAGAGTCATCAAAATCAATTTTCTCCCAACACTATTGATTCATAATCAAGAAAAAAAGGTTATAAGAAGTAATAAAATGATCACCCAAGGGAAAATGCTTTGATCAATCATCATATTCTCTCCACTAATGATTTAAGGAAATGTATTGTGATCATTCTGGATATTGGAGCTTGAAATGTTTATCAATTAATTAATTTGTCAATCGTATGATGTGAAGAATTATGGAGATAGAAGAGAAAGGTATCCACTGAGGCCGAAGGCCAAATCATGTTTGGTCAACAATGAAACTATTGTTTACTTGGAGCATAAGTTCTTTTTCAAGAAAGAAAGCACTTTTCCCCAGACTTACGCAAAGTTCACCACGCCTCTGGCCCAAAACAACTAAATACAGTGTCAATAAACAAAACATATTATAACATATTTACCTTAATGTAAATCTTCTTGCTTTAAGCTTCTAAATAATGTTAATGCCTTCACTCCAGTAGAAATTTATGACTGTGGATCATTTATAGTTAATCAAAGTGGAATGGTTGGGAAACCCTTTGTTCTATGTTTTTTGTTAGCTTTTTTGGGCCTGACCGTGCACAACGTTCAATAGCATTCCTATCATTTTGAACTTACTGACCAAAAGAAATATTGCATTAATTTATTCAGTCATAATTTATGAATAGAAAACAAAGGATTGTGCACGGTCAGCTTCCAACATAACCTACAGCAACATTGTTTTCAACTTTGATGTTTGCCGGATTTCCTAACCAGTCACCTCTACTAACTATGATCAAAAATACTAATATGACAGGACTCTTGATCTAGGATAAGGTATCGGGGGTTGGGGGGTGGGGGTAGGGTCTCTCCTTTACATGTATTTGACCTAAATGGGTATGTGCCGCTAGTTGGGGTATGGTTTACAGGGAGTTGAGTCTTAAACAGGTTTAATACAATTTCATAGAGTGCCTATGATGTAGTAAGTTTCCATGATGTCAGTTTCGAAAATTACTTAGTTTTGGACGTAAAACAAAATGAATTAAAGTCATGAAATAGAGACTCTTGTCTCAAACAGGGTAGCAAAATGAATTTTGTCTTAGACATGGTTTCAAGACCTTGACAGTACAACTCTACCCAGACTTCCCTTAAGTGAGATAGCCCAGTGTGAAGCCTTCCCCTCGTACATGTAACTAGACGGCCCTCCTCCAGTGGAGGGTTATTCTGTAAAATGTCACTTATATGCCCTGGGTATATACAATGTACATCTTCGTAAGGGGTTTTGGGAGGGCGTATAAATGGAAGGGCTTATAAACACAATAGGAAAAGTGCTTCAAAACAAGTTATAGCAGTGCTGATTAAAATATGTTTTGCATGTACTGGTTTTAAATTACCGCCAAACTCAGAAAAATTTCAGGAGTGTTGATTGTGTACTGGCCAATTACAATAAAGTTCAGGATGTGCAAGCAAACCTCAAAACCACAAACTAATTACCGTTGCTGTTTGCAGTTTAGTTATCACGCGCCTTATTGGCTGATTCCTCACAACACAATAACATTCCATAAATATTTCTGGTGTTCATGGTTTTGTGAGTTTCACAGTAAGCTTCAAAACATCATAAGAAATAAAACTCAATTTCAATACAAGGTAGAGGGGGGCTTGCATCTTGGGGGCTTAAAATTGGGTGTATTTTTTTGTTTACAGGTAGATGGGCTTATAACTGGGGGTGGGGGGGGTACCCCGGTATTAACGAAGAATCTTATATTCGAGGGGGCTTATTACTGGGGGCTCATAATTGAAGCAAAAGGGGGCTTACATCCAGGGGGCTTATAATCAGATGTATTTTTTGTTTGCAGGTAGATGGGCTTATGACTTGGGGGTGCAGTGCTTATAAGAGGAGGATCTTATATCCTAGGGGGCTTATAACTGGGGGCTCATAATTAGAGCAAAAGGGGGCTTACATCCAGGGGGCTTATAATCGTTTTTTTCTTTTTGGTTATAGATAGATGGGCCTATAACTGGGGGGGGGGAGGGGTGGGGGGCTTATAAGCGGAGGATCTTATATCCTAGGGGGCTTATAACTGGAGCTCCTAATTAGCGCAAAAGGGAGCTTACATCCAGGGGATTATAACCGGATGTATTTTTTGTTTACTGGAAGATGGACCTATAACTGCAGGATGGGGATCCTATAAACGGAGAATCTTATATCCAAGGGGGCTTACATCCAGGGGCTTATGATCAGAAGTTTTTTTTGTTTACAGGAAGATGGGCCTATAACTGGGTGGTGGGGGGCTAATAAGTCAGTGGCTGGCCAGAGGGAGACCAGCTGGCCATTTACAAGCATGGCCGAGGATTGGAACTCAGGACTACCGTCAACAATTCCAGCTAGTGTTCAGAGTGAGACTTGAACTTGAGGCCACTAAATTGCAAGTCCAGTGCTCTAAACCACTCGGCCACACTGTCTCCCTAACGATCAATTCCAATGATATGAAGACTTCCAGGATTTTTCAAAAGGTTAAATGAGAGAGAAGTAGCCAGATATTACTATCCATTAACAATCATAAAAAAATTCATATATTTTGTTGTGAGGGAGAATTTATGGGCTGATCATCTGTCAGAGTTTTTGTTCAAAGTAAAGCAGGTTACATCTGAGAAAATAACAGTTCTCTGCCCTTTACAATAAGAAGTTCCATGATAATATTTTGTAATTTTTTAATAAGCTAAACATTTAATTTGTAGGAATAGTCCAGTTTCGAATTCAAAATTACTGCTGAATATAAACATTAACGACACATTCATACAGGGTTAGCCTCGACGTAAAGTAAAATATTCAGAAATTCTGGCAAGCAAGTGTTTGAAATTTGAATATACACAATAGACAGAGTAATAAACATGTCTTTTTCTCGTTGGAATTTGTCAATATATTACTTCAGATGGAGGCTAAGGCTGTAAAAGATGCGTCTTCACTTCTTTAATCCAGCGGTCATAGCGAACTCGAAAATGGACTATTAATAGCAGTGTCTGTACGAAACAAAGGTTTTTAATCTGTAACAAGTACATTATTTCTTATTATCCATAATATTGAAAATTAGATATTAGATGTAAGACACCATTTTCCAGCTCTCGTCACTCGAACATATCCGGATTCTCATATCCTCTCGCCACAGTGTACTAAATTTTAATAGACCTCAGGCCTGTAACCAGCGGGGTGCACGGGGTGCATTCGCACTCCCCCACAGGCCCCAATGGTCCGCATTTTGATACTCAATATCCAAGTTAAGGCGTGCAGTCAGTTAAACTGAAGTTGCAAACTTAACAGTGATATTTAAGGAGGCTACATACATATAACAGGGCATGCATGGGCCAGGAAAAGCTGTCGTCCCTCGCACTCTCTAGTTAAAATTGTTTTGGATGAGGTGGTAAATCTGTTTGTCACCAAACACCCACAGAGGCTGGAGCTCGGGACTATTCCGGGGATTAGTTGCGCAGTATTTTGGTGTATCATTTTACATCGTAAAATTACTCCTTTATAACTTAATTTAAACAGTTGTATTCGACAAATGTAATATTCAGTTCCTTCCGTGTACTTTGCCGTTACAATTTCTCATGTATTGCTACTTTCCTAAATAAACGGATCAGACAATAAAAAATACATTTCGGTAGTTTGGTCCGCTTTAGCCTCGTTAGCACCCCCCCACATAAAATCCTGGTTACGGGCCTGGACCTTATCACGGTTTTCGACGCCATCTTGACAAGTAGGCAAATGTGTGCAAATTTACAGTGTTTGTAAGAGAATCTAATGTTGAATAATTTCCACAGAATGGCTGTTCTAACAAAATATGATTTGTAAACTAAAGCTTCTCTCCTAAGCATTGTACTGAAAAAGATTGAGGGCGTTACATGCACGAGGAGACCTAGAACCCCTTTTTTAAATTTTCTATACATTTGTCTGTAAGAAAGTCCCGGGAAAATTACAGACAAATGTAAGAAAAATCTAAAGCAAGCCTCTGGAGAAATCTAAGCACAGGTACACCCCCCAATTTTTTTAAGACAATCCTTTGCGTTGTAGCTTTAGTTTACAATTGATATTTTTTTGAGAACAGCCGTTTTACGGAAATTATTCGACATTATATTCTCATGTAATTTCTCACACGTTTGCCTACTCGTCAAGATGGCGTCGAAAACCGTGACAAGGTCTATTCGCGAGGAGTGGTCGTGCTTTGCATCAAAAGCTGACAACCGCAGGTCGTTTACTTTCTGTTGAGACAACCAACTCAGATATCGATGAAATTACAGACAGAAAACAAACTTACTGATGTACAAAGCAAACCCAGAAAGTGTTTGTATTACGTCTGGATATTATTTGACACAGGTCATCATTTGGTGTCGTGAGAGTTGTCATGCAAACTAATTAAACTCGCTATATTGTGTTTTCTATGGACAAATACACTTTGTGTATTCTTTAAAATAAACCAATTCTTACCTTAAACTGGTAATCACAGCGAGTTCGTATTCCACTCAGCTTTGCCATGTAAATTGCAATAATTTGTACAGCTTTAGGTCCCTTAGACTTGCCAAATTGAAAGAAGCTTCTCCTGGCATTCGCAAAGATCAACTTATCAGCGGTAGGCAAAACTCGAAAACTATTCAATTTCAAGATCGTGGATCCATAACAGCACTAACTGACAGCCTTTTTAAATCCTGTACTGTAACAAGATAATATTTTAGGCAGCTGAAGAATTGTTTTTACCTCCGAAATGCATTTCCTTCTGCACGTTCCATGCTCCATATAAACTCTTCAAAACACAGCGAATTTTGTTTCCAGGTCCCACTCGTCCTGAAAATACTTACCAAGAGAATGGGAACAACAAGGAACAACAATTGTCATAAAATATAGACTGGACTGGACTGGACTGGACTGGACTGGATAGGAAATAGTTAGACTGGATTACTGAATCGATATTTTATTGATCCATATTAATTTTTATTAATTCTCTCCACGTTTTACCACAAAGTCTGTGCAAGAACGATGTACCAAGGACATCAGGCGAATCAGGGTTTAAAACAACAAAGTTTTCGCCTGGTTTTCTACATGTACAAGATATGAATTTATATTTAACAAAAGATCCGAAATTTGAGTAAGATTGCAAGAAGACCTTCGCCTCTGTTAAATTTTTGCGAGGTCCGTCTATTTCCGGGGGGGTCTAAAGGCTGGAATCGTAAGAGCGCTTATGACTCAGTGAACATCAAAAATCGGAGTCTTAAGCAGAGTCATAAGCGCGATGGAATCGGAGTCGGAAGAATCAGAACGTTCCCATTTTTTTCCGACTCCGCTTATACGATCTAGAGAAAACCAGATTGACGGAGTCGCAAGCAGAGGCGGAAGGATAAACCAATCACAATGCACGTTACCACACTTTGTGATTGGTTTAGTTCTTCTCCGAGAACCTAGTTTCACTTGACCGGTAAACGACGGAGTCGTAAGCGGAATCAGAACGCTGTTTTCACCCTATCACAAAGTTCTACGCTTCTGATTACGACTCTGACTCCGTCGCTAGTGAAAACCAGCCTTAAGAGAGCCGAAACCTTCACATGGAAACTTACAGTAACCGTTCTAGAAACAAAATTTTCAGTGGAAAGATTTCAGAAGTCATATTCGATTAGTTTCTCAAGAGCTAAGAAATTTCTCTCCCCAATTCCCTTCCCGTCTTCCCTTCCTAACTTCACATTTCGACGCCTGCTAGCCTGTTTACAGCCGCCTCCTAATCTCAGTAAAAAGAGAGTTTAAGATAACACGACGGCAACTGCCACAAAAACGTCACTTAAAAATTGAATTTGCGTTCTTTTAACGGTCTATTGCGATCACTCCAACTCATTTACTTTGTACTGAAATGAAAGCCGAAACTCTTTATGAGCCAAATTCCTGAGAACGATATTCAAGTTCAGAAAAAGGAAAAAATTTAGCCGTCGCTTGTTTCGGCGTCCACCATAAAACGTGAAATTAGACATTTTTTAGTTCCCGTCGTAGTCGTGCAGTGACGGGAAAGAAATGTACAAAAAGCGTGATGCACGTGCAGAGTTGTTGTTTTGCCTTGTTAAGCTATTGCTTTTTTAAAGATCTCATTGTCGTCGCCGGCGTGGCATCTTAAGGTGATGTTACAACGGGCGATTTGCAACGACGATTTTCAACACAGCGTTGCAATGTTGGAACAATGTTGCAACCATTCGAAACAATGTCGCAACAATGCTGTAGTGCTGTTTTGCGCTGAAAATCGTCGTTGCAAATCTTCTCTTGTAACATCACGTTTAAAGTCCCTAAAATCGGAGAAGGGATCCCTTCTCCGACTTTTTTTCTAAAGGGAGGGGGCGGCTGTACCCACAGGTTGGTTTCTTTTTATTGTTACACATTAATTTCATTTTACCCAGTCTGCAAACGCAGACCTATTTCCTGTTGTCACTTGTCTCCCCCGAAAAATTAACTTTATAAAGATAGATAAATGCTGTAGCACCTTCCTGCAATGTATTTAACGTATTTGCCTAGATCTCGAAAGAGATGTTTGTTTTACGCATATTGCGTTGACATGGAATCGTCGAAATACCTTTGTTATTGAAATTCAAACTTCCGCTGTTTTGAAATAAGTCATAAGAGGTTGTGGTATAGGCACGAATTTTATTCACCGTAACCAGTAGAGATCATATACCTTCCTTATACTCTGTTACTACGATTATGTTCAAGTATTTGGAAATACTTGGCACTATTTTCCTGGCATTTACTGCTTTGGTACAAAATTTTGTTAACAACCCTTCGATCCTATGGGACTCAAAGAATCCAATGTAAGTAGCAATTTTAATGTTTATTGTGTTTGTTGTGCAAGCAACTTTTCGGCTAGAGCCTCGGAACGAAACCATGCACTGATTTATATAAAAATATTTGTCTTTTGTGATAACTTACACATAAGGCGATCCTACAAGTTAGGGACTCGAATAATTGCTTCCAAAACAAAACTTTTTTTCAGCATAACTGATGTCACATAGTTTGTTTACACAGAAAAAAGTCACGATTCTTTTGCAAAGTTTCAAAGGAATTCAGTACTTACAAAAAGTAGACAACGAAAGCGATTGCGTCATTAATAGATCCTCCGTGAATCATTCAACTAGACTAAATATATATCAGTCCGATAATTTCTTGTCCGTCCTTGATTGAGAAAAGGAAAGTGAAGACTCGAGTTCGGCAAGCTCAAGATTGCGCCAAAACATTTACAGTAGATTGCGAAATCTTAGCTGAGGAACGCTATGCAGTTGTTGTTGTTGTTTCATATCAAGTGAAACTAAACTAAATCCCGATTCCTGAGTTACTAACCTAACAGTCATGCGCAAGTTAAATCTAAATCCGTTAATCCGGATGATTTCTCGTTACAAAATATGCGATTACGGTATGATAAAGTCCCCATATTTAGTCTTCTACTAAGTGCTGGTAATCCCCAAACACTTTTTTGGAACCACTTTTTAGATTTTTTAGTTGTGGCAAGAAGCTGAGCTTCAAGATAAGACGGTACATTTATAAGCGGATTTAGTCTGGTATCATCGTGATATAAATTTAACTGTAATTGGGTTCGGCTCCAGTTATCATTTCTCAAGTACAGTAACTCTATAAGTAAAGATGTGCAAGATGTAGAAAAAAAAGGAAGGGACAAGCGTTTTGCCAATTTAGTATGTTAAGGCAAAATTTGACTCATAAAACAATCTCGGACATTCTATTGAGAATTATGAATTGCTTAGAATTGGAAAATTGATGTTGGGAAGTTTAAATATATGTTATACGGATTCGATATGGTAGTCATATTTGTATCCTCATCTTTACTTTACAAAACTATACAAGGACAAAAATTTGCCTAGTCCTGACAAAAAAGGCCAGTCATTTCCACTACGACTTCTAGAACTAATTACAGGAGTCACAGTGAACTCGTTAAAAGCAATTTTCCGCTCGGTTTTGTCAGTTTAATTTCATATTCATTGATAAACACCCTCGTGCTAATTATATTCTGCTGAGGACGTAGCCTGCTCTAATTGTTATATAATATATCGAAATAAAACAGTAATAAGGCAAGACGATGTATTACATTAAAAGTGCCATTTCCTATACCCGAGACTTGTGCCAGCATTTTGACACATTGGTCTGGCTTAAACTTGTTCTCTTAGTTTTTTTTTTTTTTTTTTGTATTTTAATGAATTTTTTGTTTTAAAATGTTTTACATTTTTTTTACATTCTGACTTATGAACACGGAACACGTAAAGAAAAAATACAAAAAACGGAAAGGAAAACTAAACATTATACATCGCAGACTAACACACAATTACATACTTACAAAAAAGAAAACAAACGAAACAAAAACCCAGTACCTTCTTTTCTATTTACATGAAAAAAAAAAGTAAAATAAAATAAATAAATAATAAAGATTAATAATAAATAAAGTAAGCGGAGAAGAGATCGTATGCTAATCAGTTTTATATTTGCCCCATTTCATATTGTGGGTCTCCAACTTATTGTTTGACTCAGCGATCATTGTCTCTATTAAGAAGACAGTATTAATTTTGGAATGAAGAACTCTGATGGAGGGAGGATATTTGTTCTGTCTACAAGAGTATAGATATTGTTTTGCCAGTAATAAAATATGATTCACAAATATCTCATCCTCACACCCAATAATACCAAACAGTATATCTTTGTCTGAAAGATTTTCAATCTTGACTTTATGATCAACAAGCCATTTTATAACCTCAGACCAGAAATTCTCAGTATAATGACAAGACAGAAAGAGATGTTCGAGGGATTCGTCCGATTCACCACACAAGGAGCACGCTGGAGATGGTATAATACCAATTTTGCATAAGAAGGTATTTGTCACAAGGCATCTGTTTAATAATTTATACTGAAATTCGCGAGTCTTTGTATCTAAGGCAACACGATATGGCAAGCTATAGATCTTTTTCCAGTTCAAAGTATCATTGACAAAATTAACATCAAACTTTAGTTTAGCAGTTGGTGGAGTGACGATTCTGTTTCGAAGTTCTTTATAGACAATTTTCGAATACGCTTTTTCAAGTAAAACAAAAATTTGCCTAGTCCTGACAAAAAAGGCCAGTCATTTCCACTACGACTTCTAGAACTAATTACAGGAGTCACAGTGAACTCGTTAAAAGCAATTTTCCGCTCGGTTTTGTCAGTTTAATTTCATATTCACTGATAAACACCCTCGTGCTAATTATATTCTGCTGAGGAAGTAGCCTGGTCTAATGGTTATATAATGTATTGAAATAAAACAGTAATAAGGCAAGACGATGTATTACATTAAAAGTGCTATTTCCTTTACCCGAGACTTGTACCAGCATTTTGACTCATTGGTCTGGCTTAAACTTGTTCTCTTAGTTGCGTGCAGAGCATAGGTAAAATCTACGACAAAAACGCGGTGATTTCCAATTTTACACCCTTATGCTAAGAACGTCACCGAATTTTATACACGAAAAAAGATTTGAATTCTAATTACCACATCCTCTTTTGTAGCCTGGGTGCTTGTAACAAAGCACAAATGGCGTTATTTAGGTTTTTAATCTTACTATTTCACTTAAAATCGACGATTTTACTGCCTTTGTACCCCTCTATACAATGGACGCCGTTTAATCCCATGTAAGTATTAAATGCTGTGATCAGGTTATTTTTATTGCAAAATCTTTGCTTTGCCGCGTGGCGTGAACTTTGATTCTTTTTTCATTTCTTTTGTTTAATTAGGAGTTTGTTCAAATTTTGTTACCCTGGTCCCAGAGGTTTTTCTTGATTTTTCTTCGCGAAAGAGATCAAGAGCAAACAGCGAAGCGGCGACAACGAGTCGCGAAAGCGACGAGGAGAGACAGAAAAACCTCTGGTTACCTTGACCTCGAATCTCACTTCCATGTAGACGACAGGGTCAGGATCTGACCCTCGGGCGTTGATTGGTTGATATTTTTTCAAACGCGCAAACCAATTTGATTGGCTCGTTTAATTGTAACTACCGAGGGGACGCTGAGGATTTTCACACCTCATTTTGCCTCTCTCTACTAGGGAAGAAAATTGTTTGTATGCTTCACTCGCAATAACATTTGCACGGGACCAAGGCACGTAGAGGCACGCTATGGATGTTGTTCCTGAAAGAATATTCGAAGAAATTTTGACCTCGGTACTTAATGAGCGCTTTCCCGAGTCTCACTGAGCAACAAAAGAAAGCTTTGTTCGCTGCGTTGAGTCGAAAGGATGTGTTCACCATTTTATCAACCGGACATGGAAAGTATATTTTCTGTTACAATACTGTCATTCCATTAAATAAACTAACTTGTTTAGGGCAGCAAAATAAAAAATCTCCGAATACGGAATGAAAGTTTCCTTGTAGGAAAAAAAAACATACAACTTTGTACAAGTGCGTAATCATTTTCGGTGCAGCTTGATTTCCTGCGACGCCCAAAAAGATCTAACCGACGCTATTTTTGGCATAGACCTATTCGGTCAACTCAATGTTGTACCCAATTCAAATCTCCGGGGATAAGATTCTTTGTGTATTGCACTTGCATTATAATGTGGTATTCACATTTAAATGATATGGAAATTCCTGAAACAAAACGTTTTATTCCCAAAGGGTTTGAATTGGGTACATTGAGTTAGCCGAATAGGTCTATTGGGCCAACAAAAACCTCTGAAAGTACATTCCGAACCTTAAGGGTTTGTTGTGCTGCATGACTCTTCCTAGCGTCGCTGTTCCACAAAAAAAGGAAATGTAGCAACCAAACCAAAATGCGACCCAGATTGCCAGAATACATATTAATATTACTATTTTCAGGGAAATGCCCGCGCATCGACGCGAACGGCGCGCCCCGCAGAAGTAAACAATGTAATAAGCGCGATTGATAGACTCTTGCAAACTTTACAACTTCCCGCTGGCACACTGCCGACAGAACAGATGACAATGTTTGTGAAAAATCCTTGTTATTATACCCAAATAAATTCTGCAAATCCTGCAGCATTCGTTTGGAACAATGTCGGTTTCTTTATAAAGTGGTCTTCTTATTCCTGGACTCTTGTCGCCCATTGTTAACACATGCTTTAGCTTGACCCCGATTAACAAATCACTCTTTACCACCCAAGTGAAGATGGTTTGTTCATAACATAATTTCCCCAGGTCTACCCCCACTTAAAAAAATAGCGGCTGATAAGCACGTGTTTGCTAAGTTGCCATTGGTCACTCTTTTTATTAGCAATTTGACGCGTTTGACAGCTGTCGTCTGCATGGAAGTGAGATTCGAGGTCAAGGTAACCAGAGGTTTTACTCTCTCTCCTCGTCGCTTACGCGACTCGTTGTCGCCGCTTCGCGGCTTGCTGTTGATCTCTTTCGCCAAGAAAAATCAAGAAAAACCTCTGGGACCAGGGTAAAATTTTGTGGTTCATGATCTTGCATAAATCTTCCTGAATGCTTTATCGTTGGAGAAATATAATACTCTGTTAAAAAAGAAAAGTCTATATAAGTAAAATAATCGTTTTCTAAAAGAATGATCCAAGTTCTGCGTTCGATCTGATCTTAGTCATCTCAATAATCACCGCGGAAGACAATTTTGTCAGCAATTATAATGCTAAACGCTGGATCTGTGAACTTCGCGGAGTGTAGGCTAACTATGTTAATCGTACCTCCTTTGGTTGGTAGGACAGAGGAGAATTTTAACCGAGTTTAACGTATCATTAGCTTTATACCAAACAGGTCGATTAAAAACAGTGCCGATGACTTCTTTACATAGTGTCATCATTTCTAAGACTGATTCTAATTAGCAGTTTAAGAGTGTTGTTTTGAAAGCATGGTTTACATTCTTTTGAAAATTTCACTGAGGACCTATTGATAAATCTCTGACCAGTAGATAACGAAATTTGTTTCCCTTAAATATACTTATCCGATGATTTATCCGGTGGATTAAGCGCCATATATCAAACGTTTGAAAACTTGTGACCAGATTATTCACCCTCTCGGTCTCCGGGCAGAATAATTCTTCGCTTTCCTTAAAACCACAGTTTACGATCAGAACTAAGTGCTCTCATTTCTTGCAGATTTCAAACGAACTATTCCACTGCAGTACTACCCATGAGCAAAATCAAAATCGTTTGCCCGAATCCCGCAATGATCCCAGCGCCCGTAATGGGAAACATCCCGCGAGAAGAGATGTACGAGAACTTGTGGATGGTCAACAAACAGGCATATGACAACTGCACAATAAACTCTTCTCATCAAAACAGATTACTGATGAAGTGTGATACGCCGTTGCACCTGCGATACTTCACAATAGTATTTCAGCGGTTTAGTGCAGTTGGTCCAAGCGGCTTGGAGTTTGAACCAGGGAAGGAGTATTACTTCATTGGTAAAATAATAATTCATTCATGCATCTCAACATATTATCATTGTTTTTGTTTTTTTCTTGAAATTGTGTGTTATGCATTTTAAAGCGCAATTTATCTTTGGTTAATTGTGTGTGTGTGTGTTATTTTTTTTTTGTCGCTTTTTCTTGTATTTTGTATTTTTTTAGTCTTGTAATAACTTCCTTCGTTAAGATAACCTTAGGAAAAGGCAGAATTTCCAATAAAACCAAAAAGGTTACAATTAAACTTATTTGATAGGGTTATTCCTGTTTGTAATACTGATTGCTGACCTAACACCTTCTTGCAACTATGCCAATTTTGGAATGATAAATTACCTTATCGATAATTTTATATTTCAAGTTCAAAATTGCGTTTTTTTAACGTCTGAATGGTTTTAAGGGGCTGTTTTCCTTACTATTATCGAGTGGTCAGGGCTCCAGACTTGCAAGTTTTATGCTAATTGTGAATGGAAAATGTGACGTAAATGACATTAAGGATGCTTACAGCATACATTAAGAATAACTATAACAAAGTGAGGAAAACAAGAGTAACTATAACAGTGTTCACATAGTTAAAATAGGGATGTGGAACTGATCATGAGATAAAAGCAAAAAATCATTTTGGTGTTCTGAGAGACTATGAAATCAGTGTAGCAAGCAACTTAAGTGTACAGCGAAAAAAAAGACAGAAGAAAGAAATGGCTTTTCACTATACCGCCGATTTAGGAGTCTTCGCAAATTGAAGAACTACAATTTTCTCTCAGTGTTGACTCACAGTCAGCTTACCTGCTTTTTCATATTTCAGCCACTTCTTCTGGGCGAGAATTTTCTCTGGGTCAGACATCAAGTGGAAGATGTTCTACGCACAACATGAGGCTTATAATCTACGTTTGCAGAGATACAAATGGTAAATCCAATTTTTATATGATGCAATCTTTTTCTCATCACCCTTTCAAACCCAGGGTCGGCCTCCTTATCCTCGCCTTTCAGACTCGTCCCGGGGCCAATTCGCGCTATTCCAATGAGCGGAGGAGACTTGGAGCCGACAAGCGTAATGTGACGTACGTGGTGACGTCATACACATCAGAGCTTGCCGGGGACGAGTAGGAACGAGGTTAACCTTAATCATCACCTGGTTTCACGTACTCGTGACGTTGAACTCACGCTGTCTCTGTACCTCTTGATGATATTTCTCACATTTTCAATAGATTCAAAGTGCATTACAAGTCCAGTTGTGTCTACTGTTCCACCGACAAAGACGGTGACTGTATGTCCTACCTCGACTCAAGCTGCTTTTGTCTCCCCTTCTGTGACAAAGCCAACATACTGTTCAGGTATAGACCTAAAATTATGCACACATGATTATGCACATGGACGCACGTGCATATGACCAAATCTGAAAAAAAAAACTGTCCTCTGTGGTACCATCACGTGGTCTGACGAAACTTGCCATTCACTGACTTGGTAAATACTAATGCATACTATTGTCCAATGCTAAACAGTTTTTTTTATTTGAGGGGTCACGCCACTTAAAAAATTAGAACCACCTTGTACAGCATAACAAACAGTACCACAGGAAAGTACTGCTCAGTAGCTTTCATTTGAATGGTCACACCATGGGATTTCACTGATCCACAGACTCCAAAAATCACTCCTGGAATTACTGAATGACGCTTGTAGGGAGTTCATGAAATGATTTGTAGTCAGAAGTACGTCTAGTCATAAGTAATATTCTATAAAACCTGAATGGTAAAAGATTTGCATTTGAGTTGATTAATTTCTTCACCATATAATGTTTGAACATAAGCTAATCGTCATATCGCTTTTCTTTGAAAAGCCACAGCAGACAAGCTACAAGTAAACGAATTGTTAAACAACACACGACTCATACCAGAAATATTTAACCAGACGAGTCACATGACTGCAATATGGGCTCAGCTGAAGAATATGTCTCTTCAATTGAATGCCGTTCAGGAGAAACTCGAAAATTGCAGCTTCGGCGTTGGTAATAGTCACGTGACGGAAGCTCCTCCAACGACGCCAACTCCAGGTCAGTTGTTACATCATGACATGACGTCACGAAGAGTTAAAACATGTAATTTCCACCGACTTCTTCTGCTTAATTCCCTCCCTTTTAGACCTCCTCTCTTTTTCTTCTCCCGCCTCCCGTACCCCTCCCCCTTATCTTCCCAGGATCCCCTCCCCCTGAACTCTCCCATTTCAATACGAAGATGTTCAAAGTGATGATAAAAGTTGGCACAAGTTACGTGTGAACAGCTGCGTTGCAAACCGGTATATATACTCTTGTGCTTGCATTAGAGCTTGCGTCGTATCCTTTCACACCTACGACACAACGTTTTTTATTGAGAGAGGATGAGGTTGCTTATAACTCATATTAACTGGTATATTAATTGTAAATTGTTATTGAATTGTAGTTTTCGCTGACTGCACGGAAATTTACAGCGCGGGATTTACTGCCAGCGGAGTCTACGTTATAAAGCCTCCAGGTGTTACAACAAAGGATTCCTTTCCAGTCTTTTGTGACCAAACTACGCCCCCGGGAGGCTGGATAGTGCTTCAGAAACGCTTCGATGGCTCGGAAAGGTTCAGTAATCGTACATGGGCGGAGTACCAGAATGGCTTTGGTAATCTGACAGGGGAATTTTGGCTGGGCTTGGATAAAATTCATCTGCTGACTAGGAATCCGATGAAGCTTCGGATTGATCTTGGGGCTCCAAATGGGAGTAATATATTTGCTCTTTACCAAGGGTTCACGATTTCTGGAGCAGACCAGAAGTACAAGCTGACAAGTGGAAGGTTTACAGGTAAATAAAAAGTAGAGACTTTGACTCTAAGAAGTGCCCGGTATCAAAATATGCCGAGAAAAATGTGAAATTTTTTGGGTAAAACAATTTTATACAAATCCATTTCCAAGCAATCATCAAAGAGGTTTACTTTGAATGATAACACTATTCAGTTCTTAACACAGACTCAAAAGTTAGAGCCACGTTGTACAGCATAATAAACAGTACCACAAGAAAGTACTGCACAGTAGCTTTCATGTGAATGGTCACACTATAGGATTTCATCCACAGACTTAAAAGTTAGAACCACCTTAGCTTGTACAGCATAATAAACAGTACCACGGGAAAGTACTGCTCAGTAGCTTTCATTTGAATAGTCACACCATAGGATTTCATCCACAGACTCAGAAGTTAGAACCACCTTGTACAGCATAATAAACAGTACCACAGGAAATTACTGCTCAGTAGCTTTCACATGAATGGTCACACCACAGGATTTCATCCACAGACTCAAACGTTAGAACCACGTTGTACAGCATAATAAGCAGTACCACAGGAAAGTACTGCTCAGTAGTTTTCATTTGAATGGTCACACCATAGTATTTCATCCACAGACTCAAACGTTAGAACCACGTTGTACAGCATAATACCACAGTACCACAGGAAAGTACTGCTCAGTAGCTTTCATTTGAATAGTCACACCATAGGATTTCATCCACAGACTCAAAAGTTAGAACCACCTTGCACAGCATAATAAACAGTACCACAGGAGAGTACTGCTCAGTAGCTTTCATATGAATGGTCAGACAACAGGATTCCATCCACAGACTCAAAAGTTAGAGCCACGTTGTACAGCATAATAAACAGTACCACAGGAAAGTACTGCTCAGTAGCTTTCATTTGAATGGTCACACCATAGGATTTCATCCACAGACTCAAACGTTAGAACCACGTTGTACAGCATAATACCACAGTACCAGAGGAAAGTACTGCTCAGTAGCTTTCATTTGAATGGTAACACCATAGAATTTCATCCACAGACTCAAAAGTTAGAACCACGTTGTACAGCATAATACCACAGTACCACAGCAAAGTACTGCTCAGTAGCTTTCATTTGAATGGTTACACCATAGGATTTCATCCACAGACTCAAAAGTTAGAATCACCTTGTATAGCATAATACACAGTACCACAGGAAAGTACTGCTCAGTAGCTTTTAATTTTAAATGGTCACATAATATGATTTCATTCACAGGCTCAAAGTAATTGCTGAGTAGTTTGTTTGTTTGTTTGTTTTTAATTTTAACCTCGAAAGTTAAAAAAAAATTATCTTTGTGATTGGCCAAACTTGTCTTAGTGAGGACATAACGTTTCTTGTTGTGATTTCAGCTGGGAATGGCGGCGATTCCTTTACAATTGAAAATGGCAACCTATTCTCTACAGTAGACCAAGACAATGACAAATGGCCCCCGGGAAGCTGCGCGCAGAGATACAAGAGCGGTTGGTGGCATGGTAAATGTCACCAGAGCAGCCTGAATGGTTTGTATCTGAATGGAAGCGACAAGGATCGCAATCATTTTGCTGCTGGAATCACGTGGTACACTTGGCTAAAATCTTATGACTACTTTTTTACCAAATCAGAAATGAAGATTAAGCTTTCCTCTTAGGGAGATCGTAGCTAGTACAAAGCTCACCTTCATGCGTTTGTTTTCTTACTTAAACTTATTGCTGGTTTTTCTGGAAGAGAAGAAAAAAAATCACTAATGTTATGTCACACCCTTTACTACATTTATAGTGAACTAACGCAACAGGGCGGGAAGGAAAGAGGACGGCAAACCTGGTGTGATAAACAGATCTTTTTGTAAAGGACCAGAAAACATTAATGTTACGTGAAGATCACGACAAAACACGCAGCCTTGTCACGTTTGTTACGCACAAGCGTTTTGCCGTCCTCTTGTGTATACTCACTAATAGTGCTGTGTTCAGAACTTAAGCTTCAGATTTCATCAAAAATTATCGCTAATTTGAGATGCTTTACCAAACACTCGACACAGTTTTTCATCTGCTATACTGATACAGGGGTCCCTGAAGTCAGTCTAAAGGCACCTTCCATTTGTAAGAACTGGCCGGCTGCACCATTGCCAGACCAGTCAGTTTGAAAATCAATAGGCCTTTTCCAACAGTTTTTGCTGAAAAAGCATTTCTTTGGTGCACATTATTTAGGATTTGAATGATCTGGCTGGAGAGGTTTGATTAAAGGGGAAATTCTCATTGCGACGGGAATGGTCTGGCTGGTCAGTTCTGACAAATGGAAGGAGCTGTAAAAACGCGGCTGAGTCTCGTTTTCCCAGTTCATTTGTGTTGTCTTGATATGTTTGGCCTTAGTGTCTGGATATTGCATGAAATTTTGCTTCTCGTGTTTCATATATCTACTTATTTGTGTTTGTATATCAGATGAAACACTCCTTATTGTGTTTAAAAAATTACCTTTTAGTGTTTGGATACCAGAAGAAACACTCCTTCTCGTGTTTAAAAAAAATACCTTTCAGGGTTACGCTTGGATATCAGAAGAAACACTCCTTCTAGTGTTTTAAAAAAATACTTTTCAGTGTTTGGATGTCAAACGCAAGACTCGTTCTTAAGTTTGATATATTACTTCTCTCTGTTTGATATCAGATGAAACACTCCTCCTCATGTTTGATGTAGGTGCACCGGAGAGTCATACATGTCAATTTTTTCGTATTCTTTCCCTCTACATATTTGGAGCACTGCAATTTGTTGAGATCTAGAAATTTTGCCACCATGGCAACGTATTAACGTAAAGACTTCTCCCCTCCATCATCAGAAGGCATTTTGAATATACTGTAGGTTTAAAAATGATGAAACTTTTCTGAAGATCGATCTCTGCTAGAATACTGACTTAAAAAGTTAAGGAAAAGTCTTTTAACCAAAGATATTGCGGAGGTTGACAATTCTTGCTTGAGTTAAACAGGCCAGAAGGACTTATGTAGAGAAATAATTAATGCCAAAACTCATCACCCTTAATATATTAGCACAAGTTTTACGTTAACCATAGAAATAGAGCTATTAACTACGTACGGAAAAAGAATGCTTGTCACTTAAAAGCTGTGCCTACAAATCCTGATAGTTTCTAATCCGTGTAGAAAAAAATTTACCTTTCATTTCTGTCAATTGTCTTTTCTTTGAAGCGGGTTACGTCATTCCCTAAACATGACCTTATAGTGGAATAGAGTGTTTTCACATGACGTCACGGCGGCCATATTGGTGTGCTAAAACAATGAAAAGACGGCCATGTTGGTGTCCCAAACCAGTCCTGTGGGAGGTGAACTCTTTTCTTATGCAAACGCTTTCTTTTGTTCCAATAAATTTGCATAGATGCTGGCCACGTGAGTGAAAACACTCTATATAGCGAAGACCTCGGTATAATGAACGATTTTCTTTACTTCAGTAATAGTAAAATATGTGGAAAAGACCCTTAGCTCTTTGCTATATGGAGGTTCCACTGTACGCGGTATTTCAACCTCCGTTGCATAACTCCATCTCTATTAATTTGTTATGCAGCTTTCTCATGACCAGTTCCTTCAGCCTTCACACCAGTTAATTGCGTTAGCTTGTTTTAGTGACCGTCCACTCTAAGCCCAGCTTACGACGCGTATATCTTATGACAAAGGTTATTTCCCAGGTTTTTGAGAATTTTATTGCGTTTATGTTTTCTAAAGCATGTCGTAAATATCATCTTGCGAATTCTTATATTTTCGTCATAAAGTTATTTCGCAATACGGCAATACGAACATAAACAGGCAGCTTCCGCCCGCGGAAAAATGAACCTGCATGCATTGCAAGCTACCCGAACCTTATAGGGGAATAATTAATCCTGCGTGGGAAGGGGAGGGGCTCTCCATTGTAATCAACACAATAACCATTACAAGGGCGTCACCTTATTTTAGCACTTTGGGGTCTCGTTCCAAACTGCCGCTCTAAGAACAATGAAGGCGCATGCGTAAATTATTCGTAGGGCGTAGCCGAAATTGATGTCCATGAGGGTTTTCCTTCTCCTGCCGCCGCTATAAGAACATTGACGGGTCACCTGGAGTTATTTCATCTTCTAGTGAGGCGAACAAGGTATGTTTTTTAGTGTTTGGAATTTTGCAGGAACCTAGACATTTTGAAGGCAGCAATGTTAAACTTCACAACATTGCCTTCGGGTAACTGTGCTACAGAGGTTTTTTCTCTCTTTTAGGGTGATTTAAAACTAGATAACCGAGTGAATTGAATTTTTCTTAATAGTGCCGGAAAAAAAAAACGGAAAAAAGGAAAGAAATGAAAAGATTTCAAGTTTAAAGAGCGCGTCTGTTGCATAGAGTTCAAAAAGCAATAATGGCGTCTACGTACGATCTTTTTACTATTAGCCATCTCAAATTACGACAGGAGACGTTGGCACATTCGGATTAATCGTTAAGTATCAAGAAATGTTGTTGCGAAATATCAACATTCAATTCAACACTACGATTAAGCAGAAAGAAAATTTTGTCGAGAGACTTTTTCGCATTCGGAATCACCATCATCATGAAATCCTTTTCTTCCTGTGCTGGATTGCTTTGCATCGCTCTCTTATACCGTGCGGTCCCCGATGGAGGATTTAAGGTCAATAACTCCAATTCTTTTACCCTGGGGCCATAGCTGAGGGGACATTCAGAATAATTGTTCATCTATGGAACATCATGCCGAAATACTGGCGTAGCAATCAAAGATTAGGAGCAAAAAAAATTAACTTATCGGACAACTGGCAAAACTCGAATAGAATTTTAGTCTGAACTTCATCTCTTCTCTCCCCTCATATTATTTTAGAGGTTAGAATGGAGCAAAGATAATGGCTCCGATGGAGAAAACAGCTTGCGCCCAATAAACGTAGTCCTAAGCCATTTCGATGTCACCATCCATCGACGCGATGCATAAACTGGGCGTGTGTCAAAGAAAAAAAACAGAAACACAACAACAAAATGAGGCCTTTTTTGATAGGATGTCGATAGCTTTTCAAAGTGAGAGGAGATTCCTTATGGAAAACGGGGGTGGTTTTTAAATTATGAATGCTACCGTTTTATGAATTATTGTTTGTGGGGGCAAATTTTTCGCCTGCAGATAAATCCCTAATTGTTAATCAGTGGAAAATGTCGGCAAAAAAATTCTCGCTAGGCCAAAATCTCACCGGAGATTTGAAAAAATCTGGTGATCCTGTGTTCCCCTTAATAGAGGGAAGCTTACAAACAATATGAGAGATTGTTCGAGTCATAATTGAGTTAACTGTTTGCCAAAAAATAACAGATAAAACATTCTCAGCTAATCAAGAATATAGACGACAGCAAATTAGCGAAATTTTATCTCTGAACATTTTTTATAGCATTTTCCTTAGGATACAACAATTTCGTTGATGAGCTAGAATAAAATGACTCTTCTAATTAAAACACGAAGTAGTGTGGACAGAGAAGTAAACATTTCGTTACTGGTGGCGGTCGTGATCAAAGCCATCATTTCACTTAATCAATTTTAACCAGTGTCAAGTATTTTGTCATTATTTTATTGAATTTCTCTGTGTATATTTTTTATCATCATGATTTGCTTTGCTGAAAACATTTTGGTTGACACATTATTTTTAATTTTTCTTTCTAGTAAAACTGGATCGTTTCGTTTCGTTGTCCGTTATCAAAATGTCATCACACTCAGTAAACAATGGGTTCAATACCTACGAAATGAACCAATATGAAAGGTATGTAATGTAACTATTTGTCAGCAATTTTTTTCTGTGCATAACTAAATATTGAAACTTTTACGAAACAAACTATTGAATAATAAATAAATAAGTTAACAACGATTTAGTCCAAGGTTCATTGGTAACGCACGCATGGTTGCCTGACTCAAATCCTTCTTACTTTAAAATTTGTAACCCTGTTAAATTCAAAAAGTAAGAATTTTTTCCTTTATCTGAGATTATGGTACACGCCGACAACCAAAATTAATTGATGCGTTGAGAAATTTTCGGAATGTGGTTTGTTCAATTATAGCCTGTTGTTCACAAAGAAATTAAATGTGATTGGTCAGTTCAACTGTGGCCGCGGGAGCCTGAGGCAATAAAGTTAAATTTTAACCTGATCGGATCTGGTTAAAAAAATTGATCTTCAACATGTACTTCATTTTTCTTCGCAGAATTCCGTTGAATTCCTCTGCATTTTCTTGGCCAGTGATTAAAGACACCTCATTTACCTGTCGCTGTGAATTTGGAAGCTGCAGAATGCACTTCCCTCAAACAGCCGCATTGACGCACATCCATGAAACTAGAAGGTTCTCATCGCACCTCCCATGGGAAGTATTCTACTATAATAGCCAACCTGCTCTTCCTACCTGTGTAAATGGCATGTCACCATTGGGATCCACTGTATTGTCGCACAAGAAGAAGAGAGAAGATGCAAAAGACAGAGTAAGGAAACTGGCTTGTGAAATATGCAACAAGACGTTTCTGCGTCCCTCGGCCCTCAGAGTGCACATGCGCACACATACGGGAGAGAAGCCATACCGCTGTACTCATTGTCCGCAGTCCTTCAGTCAGTCGGGGAATCTTACAGTGCACATGCGCATGCATACTGGGGAAAGGCCTTTTACGTGTCCACTCTGCCACAAGGGATTTTCTCAGTCCAACTCGCTCAAAGTCCATATAAGAACTCACACTGGGGAGAAGCCATTTCAATGCCAATACTGTGCAAAGTCTTTTGCAGATAGGTATGTGAACGGTTCATGGACTTGGAATGAAATATAAAGCTAAACGAGACGTTATCTAACTCCCGTTAGTAACGTCTGCGAAGCAACACCGATATCCTGGGCCCCCAACGGATTCAACTAATCATCAGAAATGCATTTCGAATTTCCGTTTAACATGATTGGAGTTGACGGTAGAATTTTTTACAGGCCGGTCATGCGCGTAATCAAATCCAGGTACATATAGGGGGGCCCAAAGCAGGGATTTTGGCGCTGTTTTGCAGACGGGCAAAACATCTCTAAAGTTTGAGTGAGATTCTATGAATCCGTTGCTCTGGAGCTACAGATTTGGATACGACAAATGGCAAGGGGGGCAGGGGCGGTGGAGGAGGGGGGCACCTAATTCCCCAGACAATTGGCCTCACAGAGTCTTAGACACACAGTAGTAATAATGTCAACATATATACACCATTATTTTGTCGATACCCTCTAATTACCCCCAAAAATTAAACTTTTATCTTCTACAGGTCATCTCTTGTCAAACATCTACGCGTTCACAATGGTGCTGCAAATGAAGAGTATCAAGATTTTTCTAAACAAAAAATGGACTAACGCATTTGCAAGACAAGGAATCCATGCCACCAGGCTGAAACATTAAACACTTAATAATAATTGTTCCAAACAAAATTGCCTTTTTTCCGAGGGACCAGTCATAAAGTGGTTTGTTATATAGCTGAAAATTTACTAAACCTTTCTCGCTGTAACGGCGGTCGTCGGTCAGCATTTGCTCGTAACACTAGTGGACTGTTACCCTCTGACGTCAGAGATTTTGCACTGTTGCCCGCTCTGAGATTTTGGTGGGAAACAGTTTCATTGTCGACAAAGATCTACAGACTCTTTCGTCGTGATTTGAGTCTAACCATTTAACAGTGAACAGTACTAAGACTCAAGCATTATCTGTCGGACCCTGTGACTATTCTCTATTTCTTAATAATGCTAGAATAGAATTTCTACAATCTATTAAGATTCTTGGAGTTATTCTAGACAAGGACCTATCCTATAAAGAACACATATCAGATCAACTAAAGAAAGCCTACGCGAAGACCTCTGCGCTGAGAACAGTAAGGCGTTTTCTTCCTCGCGATGCAATGATCAAACTTTATAAGGCATTTATATTACCTCATATAGAATTCTGCAGTCCTTTATTTGCAGGCATAGGTGAAGGTCAGCGTAACCGTCTAGAAGACGCATGGCAACTGTTATATTTTGAGATCATTAATCGCGCACAACAAGTCAATGTCATACGACGAGGGAGGGGCACCCACCGATGGTGTCCTCCTAAATGCATTGAAAACACTTTTTAGGCTATCCAGAGTACTTCTAGATCTCTAGT